CAAAATCGGTCTAACCGTATCAAATATTAGCTGGAACAAACAGACCGACAGACAGACAGACAAAAATTGTAAAGAATGTTAGTTTGGTGTAAGTACCGTATTTATATTCATATGCATGTAGTAAAAAGCGGTTATTTCAATATTACAAACAGACACTCCAATTTTATTTATATGTATAAATATACGTATTTATTTTTAATCTATGATTAAATATTCTGACTGACTTAAGATATTACTGAAACTTTGTTTACAACTTATCGCCTATCGTAGTATATATATTATGTTATGTTTCTTACTGCACCTCCGTTTTTGTAGCATGGAATCATGAAAATATTAGTATATGTTTTAAATTGACTTTTGGTCAAGTAATGTACTATAATTTGGGAAATACAATCTACAGTATACAAGCTAATTATTTACGAATCAATATACAAGCATATATTACAAGCTAATGTAACAAAACAAAGAATCTCTAAACTAAAAAAATTGTGTATGTTGTTTGCCTTCCAAGTTTTCTACTATCATTTGTTGCTTTTGTCGCAGAGGACACAAACAGATTTCAGAGAGGCATTATAACACTTTAAATCGAGAGGACACATTAGAAAATAGCGTGTTATATTCTTGGTATATTCGCCGATATGGGCTAAATGAAGCTGTCTTCATGCTCATCTCCTATTCCTCTACTGGTGCCCCGCCAGGGTAAACCGTTATCGCAGACGGGTGCACAACCATTATCATCCATAAGAAAAAAAATATTAAGGCAGGCGGGAATACTATTCATGTAAAAATAAATACACTTTTACTTTAAAATGGTAACACGTGACTAGTCATATTTTAGACTTCATATCTCACTTCCTATAGTAATATACATAGTTGGAGAGCGTAACGAAATCGTAAATCATGTACAATCGATTCGTACGTCCGATTATTCAATTCGAATCGCTCATTCGTGTTTTGATTATTACCTATTGTTATATATATGTATTATATGTATAGCCAATGTTAAGTTTAATTGCATCGCAATAGACATTCTAAAGAAAGAAAAGGAGTATTATTATTAAAAAACTATAGTTAAATAATACTATATAAATATTAGGGTACAAACATTTCTGTTTTATTTTTGGTTTCTCTTATTATTTCATTGTTTCATTCTCATTTTATTATTTCATTCATTTCAACTCTTATTAGTTAATTTCATTTGTTAAATATTAGTAATGTTTCTTTTTGTTTCGTTTTGTGTGCTTTATTGTTTAATAAATTTTTATTATTGTAATAATTGTGAGTGTTTGTGTTTTTAAGTATTTATCGATTTTTTTTCATTTCATTTAATTCTATATGTACTTTCAATCCATGAACCGTAATGGAGAGATAGACACTGGGGAGGGATTATTAGTAATGGGGATTAGTGGTCCCCCTGAGAACAACCGCAGGTTGTTGTTGAAGAGAGACACCACTCAGGTATACACACATTAGAAAGATCATACGTTAGAAAACACTACTGCACTTAATACCGAATAGCAAAGAAAAATATTATACAATCTACAACAGCTAAATAATTAGTTTTTCTTTATTACAATGATGGTGATTTTATTAAGACTCCGATATAGATTTTTAGTGTGCTCATATATCAAAGAAGGCTAGGTAGGCTATATAACATTACGCTACGACAAATAGGAGCGGAGATGAAAAGTCAGCTAGTAAATATATAAAATTTAGTTCGTAATAAACAGGAGGCGTTTTAAATTGAAACAACGCAACAAGACTAAAACAAAGAGTTCACAAAATCAAGACCGGTTTCGGTTTTTGTAAACTTGTATATGTAGGTGTATACCGAGCAAGTCGTGTATCCATAACGGGACTCTTGTCTGGAAACGAGTGTCGCCTGGAATCGAGAGATCGGAACTTGGTTACTTACTTATTATATTATAAAGTATATACTTCTTTTTAGTATGTAACTAAAAATTTTTAATAGATAAATACATATCTCTTTTTCTCCATATATATTTACGATCAATCCTAAGACTATGAGCGATTTGTTCTGTGATGCTGTCAGTGGCTTCCCATTGGAAGCTTCTACTCGCCTACAGCCTAGAGCTGCTGCTGATTTTCTAGCTTCAGGATATAATGGCGTTTTAGTCGTCTCACATACTGGTATATAAGTACATAAATATAGATATAAGAATAAATACCTAGTTCTCTATGTATTTTACACCATCTTAAATACTTAGATAATTCAATTCCGATGAAGCAACAATATGTAGGTAAATCCTAGTAGTATGATAATAGCATTTTTTATTTCAGACATATAGTGTTTTTTATGGATAATAATGGAATGGAACACCCGCTTGCGCTAACGGTTTACGCTGGTGGGGCACCAGTGGAGGATGATAGGATGAGCTTGAGGTCAGGTTAGTTAGCCCATCGTTAGAAATTCACCAGGAATTTATCATGATGGTTTCCAGTGGAACCGTATGGAGGTCTATCTGATATGGTACATTGCTAGCAAAGTGATCATCAGTTCACATTATTAACAATCCTCTTTCCCCCCACAGTACGGTGATAAATTTGCGGTATTCACAAGACGTAATCAAAGATTCAAAGTATTCGAAATTCTTAGTTATTACCGTTGAAGTTTACGTGTCATTGGATAACCGTAATAGTTTTTTCGACACAGCTTGCCCTGAAAATCCAAATTTTCGTTCGCGGAAAGTCAAGTCTCACAATTCGTCTGTTAGAGCGGAACGCAGTTGTCACAGCATGCGACTAGTTGATAGCGTGTCATTTATTAAAGGTCTACAAATCATCACTTTACCTTTTACCATACTACTTTATACTCGCGACTTTGTGCATATTAATAGTTATAAAAATAAGCTCCGAGACAAAAAATGAATATGGATAGTTGCTTTAATCATTTATCTATACATATAAATTAAATTGGAGTGTCTGTTTGTAATATAGAAATAACCGTTTTTTACTACATGCATATGAATATATATATGGTAAATATACTAAAATAACATTTTTTATCATTTTTGTCTGTCTGTCTGTCGATCTGTTTGTTTCGGCTAATCTCTGAAATGGCTGGACCGATTTTGACGGGACTTTTTTTGGCAGGTAGCTGATGTAATAAGGAGTAACTTAGGCTACTTTTATTTTAGAAAAATAAAGTTATAAACCACGCGGACAAAGTCGCGGGTACAGCTAGTTAATATTATAAACGCGAACGTTTGGTACTTTTTCACAACTTAACGGCTGAATAGAACTTAATGAAATTTTACGTGAATATAGATTATATAACGAGAACTATCTATTATTTTAAAAAGTAGTCAAATTGACGGTTTACTATAAAACCGAGAACCTATTATTAAATAATGCCATTTCTAGAGTTCGCCAGCCGGCGCGTAATAACCTTTCTAGAAGTAATTTTATGCTATGTTACTAACCTAATCAACGTTTATAACAGAAATCATCGAAGCATAGGTTCCGTTGGTACCTTTTAGCCCGACATTAGCAACAGGTGGATCGGCAATACAACTTTTTATGAGTAAACCGATTATCATTTTATTTTTCAGTAGACTTTACCCGCGGGTTCGTACGCGTGGATTTTTTTTTTATTAATATAAATAAAATTGCTGAAATAATGGTCGCCTAAGTTATTTCTTATAAACTTGTTTAAATCCTATTTGTGAGTGAAAGTCCCGTCAAAAAGTCGGACCAGTCGTTTCAGAGATACAAGATCAAACATACTTGTTATCTGTTTAATCTTACATAATTAATAATTTAATTTTAGTTATCTATAGGTACCATACAATACTAATATTATAAAGGGATAAGGTTTGTGAGTTTAGATGTTCGGTTTAATCTCCTGTTCTACTGATGCGATTTTGATAATTATTTTAGTCATTGATAGGCAATTAATTCAAGAAGACTATAGATTACATAATAGCACTCTGCAATCAATTACTAAAAACCGTATAAGTATGACTAAGATGAAGTTGCGCGTTTAAGCTAGTTTGTTATATAGGCATCTGTCATTAATCAGCTTTCGCGCTGTCAGAATTAAAACCGGTATTTTTTGATAAGAACCGGTAAATAGCTCTATTTTACAGCGACTGCTGCGACATATCTATAAGACTGGCTATTTAGATTGACTATCTATAGAAAGTTGACAAATGCGAGATTTGTGCGTTGTACAAAGAGGTAATTGAGAAGTGTTACGACTACCGAACCATAGCAAGATAATAGTAGCTAGTGAGATATATTACATTGCGAAATAGTGAAATCTTCTTTTTACTATAACGTCCGACCTACGTTTTGAAACGGTACGCATACAGCACGAAAAACTGTATGTAGTTATGTATATTAATAAAATACAATCTTTAGTTTATTATTAAGTGAGTGACCAGCCAATCTTTTATATTGATATTGCAAATCTCTGATATTCTTGGCTTTTCTGTACTGTATATGCATGTATTATACATATAAAACTCTCTATCTATTGCTGAAAACTGCATTAAAATACGCAACTACGCAAACGCAAAAGAGGTAAGCCGGCGGGAGTTAATTTGTTTTATACTTAGTATGAAAACATATCTATAATATATACTTACCATGACTATATAATATTATGTTATATGTGCCATGTGGTACCTATTATTTAGGTATTTAAAGCAGGCTATACAGATTCAGTTACGTAGGTTTAGGCTCAAATCGATAGCCAGCGTTAGTATACAAAAAAGCAACAAAAACTAACAAATATTCACTAAGAAGTAAAATTGAAACTTAATAATTTTTAAAACTTTGAAAACGTAATATATAAAGTAGAATAAAATTTTTCAGATATCGAATTTATTTCAGTAGGTTGTGGTTAAGGTTCACGAGTAGGTTTTCGAATTGGCTTCTCACTTGGTATACCTACCCTTTAGGGCTAACCCTAAATACATACATACATACATCCACAGATTATGAGTAAAAAATATAAAATAAATAATTTAAGAAGGTGCAATGAATTACAACTTTTATTGTAACAATCAGTTAAATTCAATTATAGGTATCCATCTTTTCCAGCAGCTCGCTCTCAATGTCTCTAGTTACCTAAAACATAAATTTATGTATTCAATTATGAGTTAGTCTTGTTATTTTAATTATTACTATAAACTGATTGTGCTTCATTACTATCACTATGTTTCTAAACCAATAGAAGAACTATTGCTTACAATAATAATAATAACCCAGGACAATTCACGCAGCGCCATCTAATCCCAAGCTAAACAGAGGTAGTGTTATGGGTAAATCTACTATATTGATATAAATACCTACTATATACACTTTTTCTAAAATATACATAATATATATATATTATGAGAGAGAGAGAGAGAATACCCAGATAATTACAATCATACTAATTACATAATGCTAGACGACCGCCAAAATTAAATAAAAGTCGGTATAAAAGGGTACAAAGATTGCCATTGCATTGCCCGGTGAACTTATCCAGATGGAAGTACACTTAATGACATGTGGTAGGAACGAGGTGCTGCATACCACTTAATGTTACTATACTTAAAAGATGCCCTTATATCAATTTAAAATTGATTAACATTAATTTCTGTGAATAGTTACGTCAGATCTATGAAAATTGTATTTTGAGTAAATAGAAATATTCCTAATTTACAAAATATTTATCTCTCACCAGTGTCAAACAATTTTCCGGTTTCAAGCAGCCTTACGGTTTCTTTTTCCTCCACAGCGATTTTTGCCTTCAATATAGCAGTTTCTCTATCACGAATGACTTTCTTCTTAGCTTCTTCCTCGCGCCATTCCGCTTCTTTGGAATTATATAATGCTTGTTTTCCACGAGCATATATAATACCAGCTATCAATAGAGCAAATCTCATACCCCTGATTAAAGGAGAAACTGGTTGCGGGGGGCCATATGGTAAAGACATTATTATATTTTTAATTCGTACAATTTAATATTGACAGAATAAAATCATTTAAAAAATAATCACTATTTTGACAGTTGGCATTGTTGGCATAACAGAATAAAATCTAATTTGAATCTATATAAAACTGTAGTTAAAATGTTCTTAAAAAATATATATATACAGTTTTATATAAAAATAGTCATGTCAAAAGTTACACGGGACTGCTTAACAGAATTAAATTTGCAATTTAGCCTATAAGACATTTACTTGCAACGCGACTTCCTGAACAAAGCTAGAATTGTCTTTGTCATTTTTTTTAATTACTAATTTAAACAAGTCATTGTGCAGGCAGTGCGTATTGTTTTAAACGCAAAGAGGTCATTCACCGACATCCGTGAATCGGTAATGCGCGTACGCGGAACATCCCTAGCAGCTACTAGGTCAAGTGTAAACAGTAGCAAACAATTTAATAATATATTTTTGCTACAATCACAATTGCCAGTAAGAAGGCCAGTGGCCGAATGGGCATCTAATAATATCACTTGTCTCTACTGTTACGACCACCAATTTTAGCAGGCTGGCGGACCGCCAGGCGTCTACTGGCGCAGTCGCGTGGTCAACAGGAACAACCACTAATCGATTCGAATCAATCAATTTATGTAACCCATAATGACTATTTAGTAATAGAGGTAGTCCTCTATTTGAATGACATTTGTTCTTTGAATCGGTAACGACTTTAAACATTTTTCTTTACTAACATTTTGTGCCAAACTCTGATAGCTATATACTTATGTATGCGCAATTCTGTCCAATCTTACGCGCTTATCGTAATAAAAGGTAGAATTTTGGGACTGAAGGACAGATTGGGACTGAAGACAATTATTCGCAGTTTTATAACATGCTATATGCATTACCCACAAGTTTCGTCCCCTATTTCACCTGCTTTCAGTTTATATTTTGAGATAAAGTAGGTGGTTTAGAATATAGATAGACTGTAATATGAGGACATCTTACGACCTCGGTGGTCAAGTGGTTAAACACACCGTCTTACTTCCGGTGGTCATGTACAAACAGTATTCTTAAGTATGATTGTTTATATTGGTTGGGTTTTATTATGTATTTAGCTTGTGACTATATCACGGTATGACGCTGTGTGATCTGAGATATTATATCTTCATGTCAAATTTTATTAAAATCCATTTAGTAGTTTAATAACGTTAACAAATGAAAAGAGAGATAGACAGGTCCTTTTATAATATTATTATGAATCGTTTTGATTATTTAAGAACTTATTGACTATAGTTATAACTATAGTTTAGTCTTATAGTAAGAAAATACTCGAATGCACCAAATCATTACTTCATTAACTATTTAGATTTTTTTAAATTAAATTATGTTATTTTTACTTGATCAGCTGAACATAGATTAAAATGGCAACACAAATCGCCGGAGCTAAAAGTCGAAAAAAAAATTAAACTTTTTTTATAAATAATTGGGTTAATCTTCCTATTTGATAATTGTTGATTTTAGTTTATTTGTCTATCACCATACAGTATTATTAAATAACTTGTGAACATTAATAACTATTTATAAGTGACTTGTCGATTTACATTTATTGATTTAATTATTAGTTCGTATGTATACTCATACGATCGACCTGAAATTTTATGCAGCCTCATCGAGTTTCATCTCACTTGACTTCCCTCGGTGATTACTTGGGTAACAGATGTGAATAATCATCATATAATTACACGTACCTACGCCTACTGAATTTATCCTGCATTAATGATTAAAAATTTTTAAATTTAATTGATTTGTGTAAAAATTTGTTTCTATAAAGCGTTAAAAATAAAAGCTAAGCTAAGCTAAAAATTTGTTTAATCAAATATTATTTTTATTGAATACGAATAAATATCACAGGACATATCATATTATTAATATCATGTAATATACTCGTAGGTATGGGTAGGTATATATACATATAGGTATGTATACATGTAGGTATCTTATATATTAGCGCTGACTATCCAACCTAAGCAGAGCTTGTAGGTATTGTAGGTACTTAAATTCAATCTTTTGTACTATAAATATTATAATTATCATAATATATACTCATTAATATAAAAACTTATCTTATTTGAGAATCAAACCCGCTGTCATTGTAAGTTAGACAGAGCCTTAAGTTGCTAGACCAGCGAGCTCGTCAAATATTATATAATAAAATCACGAAAATGACTCATTTTTATTCCTTGACCTCATTCTATGTATCTATACATTTAGTTCGCTAACATTGTTATAATTATTTACTTATCTATAATATTTATACACACAAATCATTAGCCTTTCTCAACGGTGGAGAATACCGTGATTGTAATGACCTTTAACATAAAATTCTGTATCAGGAACTAATCGTATTTTCGAAACATATTCATAATATTTGTTTGGTACTTAATAAATTTGGTCAGGTTATTTGTAACGACTGCAGTACATTTTAGTGCGGCCCACTGCATATATAGGTTTCCGTATATGTATGTACAAATAAAGTAGGTACAAGTAGGTTTTTTTTTTGTACTGCATTCATTTTGTGCCACCAAAAAAGAACTGCCAACATATGGAACAAACTCAAATGTTTATCTGAATATTATAACTACTAACCCGAGGGTAGCTCTTCTGTGACGATTAATACGGCAACACCCTGACATCGCACCTTCAACGGGGAAGATTTTAAAAACCCAAGATTCATTGCGTAGATATTTTGTCAATGGGTTGTAATTCTGGAAATTGAATTGCAATTATACTATCGTATCAACAGTCTAACATATTTAATTTTAATCACGGCGGTTGTTATAGGGGATCGCATAAAGCCGCTGTACTATACTGACAATCCCCTCCACAACCCCAAAACAATATGTATATGTATTGCATTTTTAGTTCTGTGGAGTGTAATCAAATATTTTGTGTCTGTGGATACGATTACAACAGTGTGACCATGTAATGTAGCATTAAATAATGCTTTTCTGGTGATTTTAAGGCGTTTTACGCAAAAATTACTAATTGTACATTAATTATAATTTTTCATTAAATAGTTTCATTCGTCCATAAAATATTATATGAAGGTAAATGCATTTAGTTATATTAAAAGTTCAGGAACGAAAATATATAAATAGGAAGCCCAATCTTATTGGTGGAAATTGAATTTCAATATAAATGTATTTTTGTTTATTTACAGATATGCAGAATAATTTCATAACATTTAGTTTTTTTTTTTAAAGCTGTATATGGAATTCATTCCTTTATGTACGGAATACAGCACGACCTGTAATTTGAACATGGTCACACTGCAATACGATTACGTATTTTAGTTCGTGTTTGTCTTTTCTCAAACAACTTGTCTACATCGCTACGGTGGTTGTCTAAAATATTCCTCTAAACTTTATTTCAATGTAAGGCTATCAATTTATTATTAATGATAATTATAAAATATGTAAAATTATGTTAAATTTCCTTCTCATTCGGTGTATAATTTACCACTCTGTGTAACAAGGATCAATTAATTTGTGGGTGTGGTGAAATGAACGCCGAATTGCTTGTCAAATACCTAATGTTCTATCTCTTTATTATATTTCTGTGTAGAGTATCCTATTTAATGTATAATATAATTGTGCTCCAAAATTATTACGCCTATCTGCCAGAATCGTAAAAATTCCCGTAACTCGTAAAGTAACCCTTGAAGTGCAAGTGTATACATTGGTTGAGTGTAGTGTTTTTGTGTTGTAGAAGTCGTCATCCACAAAGACGACGACAATGACGACGCCAGCCAAGCTGTATGGACGGGAGCTGTCGTCTTACGACGAGGTGGACGTAGATGAACTGCTGTCCAAGTTAACACAAGAGGAACTTACTATGTTGGCGAAAGAAGTTGATCCAGACGTAAGTATATTATGAACTTTATTTTATCTTAATTACAATTATCACTAGCAGTTGGTAGACTTTTAACTTATTTGTACAAAGATAATTAAAAAGTCCATAGGAACATTATATATACTAATATTTCATATAGAAATATTCAAGTTCATACTAATATTATAAATGCAATAGTGTATCGGTCTATTTGTTGAAGCATTTACTCTACGAATAGCTGAATATACCCTAATGAAATTTGGCATGAACATTGTTTCATGAAGACGAACATATAGTATGTTTTTATCTCAAAAAACTAAAAAGAGTTATGAAAAGGAGGTAATATAATTACCTCCTTTTCATAACTCTTTTTAGTTTAAATAAAAATAGTAAAATTAGAAAACACTAATTACTTGAATTATTGTTGGAATTCCTTATTTCTTTTAAAATAACTTACAGTCCATCTAGCTCACTGATAAAGTAGATTATATAGAAAAATATGATATATATTTATTAACATATGTTTATTTATTGACCACCCAATGAACCTAGCATCTGCATAGTGAATCTATGGAATTCTCAGTAGTTTATATTTCAAACAAAAATTCAAACCTTTATCTTCATGATGTTATTTTTAATAATATTCACAAAAATATATTTTATAAAAACAAAGAATTGATTTTATAAAATCAAATTTTATGTGCTGTAGAATAAACAGTCTGTGGTAATAAATCAGTAATAGAAATCTCCAACATTTTGACCCAAATATTCATATTCATATTCAATATATTTATTAATTTCAGATAATGTTCTAATAGATCTTCTAGATGATTAAACTCCTACACAAAATATTCCAAGAGTAATTGTGTTATTTTTAGAACATTGTTATCACAAATTATGTCATCTATATTCTTTTACAGATTAGGAATGTTGTCATAAACATGCAACTTGTTAAGTTATATTTCATATTAAGAGTGCTGTTGATTTTAACTAATACAGTGGATCCTCGGTTATCCAACAAAAGTTTTGCAAGGCAGTGTCGGACCATCAAATTTGTCCGGCCACCATATAGTCCGGAATTTTTTACAAAAGTGTATCTTGTAATCTGACAAATTACAGATCCAGTGATAAGATGTTTAATGTTATAAATGTATGTAAACACACTCTGAAGTATATTGTCAAAAAAATATTCAATAATAAATAATAGACCATATTGGATTACAAGGGGGGGCAGGATTATCCCGTGTCCACTGTATTATAAATTAACTAGCTAACCGAGCAAACAATGTTTTGCCGTATAGATTATTATTAAAAATAGGGGTTGATGGTAGAAGGATGACAATTAGAATAAAAAAAATATCCAATATTAAAAATTATACTTTTAGAGTGGTTATGATCTCTTAAGGCTGTAATTAGTCATATATATAGGTACATCATATTCTCAGACCTACTGAATATACACCCAAATTACAATATGAAGCGGTCAAGCCGTTTGGGATTGTGACATCTGAATTTTATATATTAGATTAGATGATATAAAAAAATATGGTGGTTTGATGTTGTACCTTAAACTGAAAAATAATGTTTAGAAAATTTTATGTTTTCTGTTGTTACATTTCTTAATACACTTTCATATGTTTGTTTGATTTGACTGAGGCTTATCTAATTTCCTATGAACCAAAAGGCATACCTGTTATCTTTTTTTAACCTAAAGAGACTTTAATATAACATTCTTCTTCTATTTTCTTTTAAGCAGAGGTGCAATAGGAACTCCAACATTTTATCAATAAAATACATATAGCTTAACTTTTTTAATTATTAACTGGATTTTAACATGAATCATTAACTTTTTTGCTAATAATATAATATGTAAATTCAAATGTAATATATTCATGTAGGAAATTTTAGCCACTTAATATGCAAGTAATTTTTTTTTCCCTACCTATCTAGTAAAGGCTATAATTTGATGAATGATGATGATAAGTAAAACTCTGATAAAAACTCAATTGTTGTTCTTTTTAAAGTTCATAATATTTACTTACTTACTAACAGTACTTTCTGAATATAGTCATATTATATGACTATATTTTTATGTATATGATTCTTATACGCAACAATATAGTCATATAACATTTACTGCCATGTATATTTGTTATTTCAGTTAATGTTTAGTGTGTAGTCTTACTAATAAACAATGTTTGTTACTTTGGCACACAATAACTATTGAACGGATTTTGATGAAACTTTACAGTAATATAGCTTATAAATCAGAATAACACATAGGCTACAAATTTAATGCTGGTGAAATCTTGGCCACAGCATATTTGATGTGGGTGAAACCATGGGCACAGTTAGTATATTATACTAATATAGTTTATCGTAGATATTTTTTTTTAATATTCCATTATAAACTACGAATTTTTTTCCTTTTTACTATTATATATTAGTTTAGATACTTATTTCCTATTATTATATAGGACCTTGCTTGCCTCATTATTTTTTAAATTAGTAGGTAGTAGCAATAAACTGAATAGACCCAGAAGGTCAAAGTAATAGTATGTGTATAAGTAATTGTTTTGTTGATGTGCTATGCTATACTGTATATTTACAGCATATATGTATTAGTGAATTTTCTGTTAATATGTAAATAATTCTGGGTTGGTATTTTATTTATGAAATAAAATGATATTTTCTTATTGTTGTAAATTGTGACTTATACACAATAGGCCATGAGAACAAATCCGGTTTACATAAAAAACTTTGTGTCGGTTTATATTTTGGACTGGAACTCCTGTTAAGAAAATGCCGATAACAAAATAAACGCTAATGTACTTAACCTATAAATATATTTAACCAGAGAATGCATGTCCTGTGTTGCATTTACCACGTATTACCATACCATGACGTCAACAATTGACAATGCCCCTGACTACGACTACTCCATCTGGGTTAATAGCTGAAATGGTATGTTTGTTTTATTTTGTACTAAATTTTTGTATTAACTCTTGCTGACCCACGTAACTTCGTCTGCATGACACTTACTTAACATCTATCATTATATTTCGTCCAATTCACATAATATCTTATCTTATGTGTTATTCTGATGTATAAGCTTGCCTTGCCAGTTCTTCTGGACAGAAGTACCTACTTGAACTGGACGGTAGTGATAATAAATATGACGTACGTATGTATATGTGGCTGAGAGGACATACATGAATAAATGAGTTTCAGTTTAAAACTTTATTATTACAAATTAACTACATTAATAAATGAGTTTGAGTTTGAAATTTTATTATAACAAATTAATTATCTAGTACTATCTACTTCCACTTTTGTAATAATTATTAATAATATGCAATTAGACAATATGTATGTGCAATGGATAGGTGAATATTTAGTAATGTTAAAATTATAATAATGACTATCAATGTAGGTAGTAACAGTTTAGTAACATTTCTATTTATGAAAGTTCATGAATTATTCTACATTATACACCAAATTGCATAATATTTGCTACTATTTTATCTAGTAATTATTATTATGTAAATAATAACTTAGAAAATATATTGCGTTGACAAGCCCTCCAGTGGAGCACCATTCCAATATCATCATTAAAAAAAATATGCGACTATACTATACTATGATACTTATACCTTTAGCTTAGATCTTTTAAACTACTTAACGAATTTTTTAGTAATAGATAGAGTAATTAAAAAGAAAGGAATGCGTTTTATAGTACAGAAAAGACGAAAACTCAAACATTTATAATGCACTCCTGCGAAGTTAGGACAGATAGTCAGTTATTAATATTATACTTCAGTTTCATCACAAAACTTTGTGAAAGCCGCCAATACCTGTATGTTCTGGTAACGTCCAAAATTTACATAGTTATCAAACCACGTCTTGGCTTCCTCTATATTATTCACATTTTATTAGACGACTGCATACTAATGTAAGTCAATTTGCATTATATTGTTCAGATTTTGTATGTTTACTAATGTCATCATAATAATAACCGATCATTATAATATATTAAATTAACATCATTCATGTAAATGTATCTTTTATTGATTACTAGTTAATAAGCCTGCAACGGCGACTACTATATTTTTTCTTGTTGATTACTATGTAATAAAACTTCGACTAAAATGATTTTTTTCAACAAATTTTATAAACATCGAAATATATCTTTATTTTCTACAATAATTATTACTTGTAGTAAGTATTTATTATAATTAATTCTAATAATACAATTTATACTACTAGATTACTATATTTCTTAGATACTATATTTCTCATAAAATTTTTGTCCCATATTCTCACATTCAAGTTTTATTTTAATGAAATTATAATTTAAAATAATTTAACATTTGTGTCGTATCTTTTTTTTATTTTCTTAGAAGTGTACAGTCTATTTATCTCAAAGCTATATTTATCTTATATATAAAATTTTCGTGTCACAGTTTTCGTTCCCATACTCCTTCGAAACGGCTTGACCGATTCTCATGAAATTTTGTGAGCGTATTGAGTAGGTCTGAGAATCAGCCAACATCTATTTTTCATCCCCCTAAATGTTAGGGGTAGTCCACCCCTAAATTTTTATTTTTATATTAAGGCAAAACAACGTTTGCCGGGACAGCTAGTACTATATATTATTTTGTATATATTATATTCATCATCATCATCGCAGCCCGGAAGACGTCCACTGCTGGACATAGGCCTCCCCCAACCATATATATTAAAAAATTGGTTCAGTATTTTGGGCTTGTAAATGTTACAGAAAGGCAGATTTAATTTCGCCTTTACAATATAAAACTATTAGAAATATAAACGCGACTCGGTGTTTTTTTCGTATTGATAGATGGCATGTGTCTACATGATAATCTATTTTCATATAAAATATCAATAATATCAACTCAGCTGTTTAGTAAACTGGTATCAAATAGGAAGACAGACAGACTTTCGTATTTGTAATTATTAGTGTAGATTATATTAGATAAATTATAACAAAAGAAAATAAAACAACTGAAAAATAAAAGAACCAAACCAAATTAAAAATAGATAGGTACCTACCTATCTAATAATGATTTACAATAACTTCTATTTCTTTATTATGAATGATATTCTTAATGATATTTCTAACTATATTCTATTAATTATAAGTACCATATATACTAATAACTCGGTGATAATGTTAGTGGTTACTTGATAATGGATTTAATGAATACAATGATAACATTTTATCATACCTAAATCTGATAACAATAAATGATATACAAACGCAGGAGTGGCTTTTTGATACCAATAATGCATCTATAAATTGTATCTAGCATTGAAATCATGTTAATACCAATTGTATACTAGTAGTCAATTGATAATGCCTCTGAATACCCCGTCTAGGACCACAATCATTAAGATATATTTATGAAGAATGTTATATATAAAATTCTTGTGTCGCGGCGTTTGTTACCAAACTCCTCCGAAACGGCGTTACCGATTTATTTGAAATTTTTTGTGGATGTCGGGTAGGTTTGAGAATCAATCGACACCATACAAACACATACAACTTCAGATTCTAACCCTTCTGATCTTCACCCCAATTTGTTATAAGAATATTAATCATTAAAATAAAACGTTACAAATAATACTAATATTATAAACTGGGATGTTTGTGAGTGTGTGGATGGGTGGATGTTTGTTACTCTGTCACGCAAAAATTACTTAATGGATTGTGATGAAACTTTACAGTAGTGTATATATATATCACAGGAATATGTATGTACATCAGAATAACACATAGGCTATACTTTTAAAATTTATTATGTAAATTGGGAGATATATAATGATAAGTGTGATACAGACGAAGTTGCGCGGGTCAGCTAATAGACTATAAATTAGACCATGCGGGTGAAACCGCAGGCACAATTAGTAAGATATATAACCTGTTACAATCGTGTTTGCAGGACACATTCCTCCCGCCGTCACAGCGCAACAATTACGATTGTGAAAAGGACCCAACGGGCCCTCTCAACCGGAAGAAGCTGATCGAGCACATCAATAAGCAAGCGCTGGAGACGCCAGACCGGCCCGAGGTGAAGCCCTACGTCGCTGGAGTTATACGTGGCAAGAAGGTATGTCAAATACTCGACAAGTAATTATTATATTAACATGTGAAACAAAAACATTGAACAACTTATCACATTGCGCGGACGGAGGAGTACGAAATTTTGCACACTTATAATTTGTATAGAGGAGTAATGAATGTTATTTTTTTTTTAATTATGCATAAAAATACATTAAACAAATAAAAAATCTTTGTTCTGATATGTATTTGACACATACACACATGTATATAATATAAGCTTACGGCCCACCTGCCTATGCACATAATTATGTGACGCTCGTATACCCTCATGCGCTTTCATTCCTAGAACTAAGATATTACACCTTGTAATTTCACTGCTATATCTCACCTGAAACAGCTTAAAAGAAACTTATTTGAGGCGGGCTGTAATGAATAAAACATAGGTATTGCTTTCTACAATACGCTTATGTGGTGGCCTATTGTAATGCATTTAGAAGCACATCGTCATACAAGGCTCTTCATGCCATGTCGGTGTTTGGCCCATTAAGGAGTTGAGGTCCAAGTCACTACTCGAGTTTATAGTAGTTTAGTTACTGAGACGACTTCAACGTCTACCGATGTTACATATAACATACAGAATCACAAATACATCCTATGTGGTGGTGTGTGGTCCATGTGTGGGCTACATGCATAAGCGAAATATCTCCTTTGGTAAGGTATACACTATACCCTGAGGAGATAAAAACCATCGCTCCTAAGAATATCCTTCAATTCTTTTCCCTGACGAGTACGTAGCGAACTTTGAATTAAAGGGGGAGCACAATAATCTATGTAGGTCGCATGGCTACAGGTCTTAACACCTGACAATGTCCCAAAAACCCTCAATAAAAAAAACATACAGAAGTGATATTTACAGATATCTCTTTACAGTTGGTATTAACCTACATTAAAGAAGTACATTGTAATTGTGTGAGCTATCTGAGTGTACTGATTGTACGTGTCGAGGCTAATTGGTCTTTATGAGACCCATTCAATGATACAATCATGTATTGTTCGATATTACACAAAGAAAGATGTTTAACGAATATTATGCAAGGTTATTTTGTGTGGTACAAATTAAAAAAGTATTTGACCCATGCTAAATAATTACAAGTATATTAAATTATTGAACTATTGATTTTGCCATGTTTTTGTCGTAACGTTCATGTATATATATATATATATATGTGCCGTGATATGATATAATAGCTTTAATTCCGTTGATCGGGGGTTCGATTCCTCGTACGATGCAAATATCACGAGTATGATTATTATGATATGTAAGGTCCTTACATATCTTACGGAATTAAAGCAGTGAAGCTTTGTAAAAGATTGATTGAATAACAATTGCTACCAATTTTTTTTTCACTTCATAATTATGACGCATTTTTGCGTAATTTAATTATACAGTAATACTATTGTTATATATATTACAATTGCTTTATCACTGCAAGAAATATCCTATTAACCAGCATAATTCTTGCAGCATCATAACACTCTTGTGACATCCAGACGAGGTAGTGTAAAAGATATGTTTGTATTTTTCAGTGGATCCCACCGCCGCCGCCAGAGAAGGTGCGGGATGCGGAGGAACAGATCTCAATAGACCTAGGGGATGAGTACGAGGAAGCCCTGGGTACCGCCTCACAGGAAGAAATCATCGATCTCGCTGGTAACATGATCCTTATTATTATTATAATAGAAGTGATTTTAATAAATCTGATGACACTAGATATGTTAATTTTTTAGTTGCTTTACTTACCTTGGTATATTTCTGTCTTCTTTCCCCTACCTAAAGGTTGTCTGGAAGAGATTGCTTAAGCGAAAAGGCCACCTTTAGTACTTTATTATGTTATAAATTATGATTCTTGTCTATACAAGTAATTAAAATTGAAACCTCTGTTTGTAATCTCAATTTAACAGATTTTCACAAAATGCATATGAATGTATGTACAGTACTCACATATAAAGTAAAAAAAAAATTGTCTCTCTGAAACGGCTAGACCGATTTTAACGTGAAATTACTCATAGTTAGCTAATGTTATAAATTTATATTAGAAATTTTAGTAGAATAAAGAGTTAATAAATATATAAAACTGTGTTCGGTTGTAGGGCACAATTAAACAGTAAAATTAATACAAAATAAGAAGCACGGCATCTTAGTACTCTGAAATGGCAGTGCCTGAGTCGAAGTAGGCGACGGTCCTAAAAAAATATTGTTTCTGTCAACTGAAATACAAAATTTAATCAATATTATCTTGAAATAATATATACGACACAGTTCATACGTGTACTAATAACCTAGTTGCACTTCAAAAGATATATTTTTAATGTCTGCTATTACAATTGTTACATCATACTGTACATACTGAATAAACGGCGCTCATACGCGTGATTGACACGAACATTCTAGAACAACGTAACACATGACACAGAGAATTATATTTTAACATTGTGCTATATGTCAAGAACGTGAAAAATGGAGAAATTGTAAGAACTGTCCGCTGCATATACGTAATAGTAGAATTATGATGTTTGGCAATAATCCAGCGTTTTCAAGAATATGTTAGTGTTTAACTTGGGTTTTGAACACATAAAAACTAATTGGATGTAATAAAGCAGATTGTGTCTATATTTGGTGAACATAAACATTTAATTTGCATCTGAGATTTTGCTAGAATATATTACTGTGTTGACCATAAAAGGGGATATTAAACGTCAAATTATTTATAGATTCTGAGTAAAGTTGTCTTTATTTTTAACAAGCTACCCGACCCAGAAATACACGGGTGATCATATATTATACATATAAATCTTCCTCTAGAATCACTCTATCTGATGCTAAAAACAGCATTAAAGTTCGTTGCGTAGTTTAAAAATCTAAGGCAACAGACAGCGGAAGGAACTTCATTGTATACTATGTAAAGAAACTAGAGACATTAAATTAATGTAATTACTATGTCACTTTAAAATAATATTCAGGAATAAATATGGTTGTTAGAATTATATAAATATAGTATTAAGTGTTAAGTTAGGTTTCTGTTAGCTCTTGTATGTAGCACAATTAAAATATTATGCATAAAATATTTAAAAAAAAATTAAGACAAATGAACACAATATTGTAGTTAGTTGTGAATGAATTTGTGAAACTTGTGTCTTGTATAGACACAAGTTTTCTGGATAACTGTATTGACGGTATTCCGTACTGACGGTAGATTTGACATATAAAAGTTTGTAATAGACCTACATGAATAAAGATATTTTGAATTGAATATACTAGATCAATATAAAGTAATTAAAAACGTCCCCGAGTATGTCCAAACGCGATTTAGTAACCGCTTTTCTATATTACGAACTTTTATATGTCAAATCTACCGTCAGTACGGAATGATTTCGAGACGAGAAGAACTGACAAGAAACTCAGCTTGTATTTTTTCAAATAAATGTTGTACCTGTTTATAATAATACAGATTCATTAAAATTCAAAATTGAGAATAGAGTGACCACCAGCATATGCTACTGCAAAAACAAAAAATCTAATCAATGTTCGTCAAACAGACCCCACAAGCAGCTTTATATTTACATATTAGACAGATTACCCGTTTTTTTTTATTATAAAATGTAATGTGCTTTTTGTTTTCAGCCATATTGGGTTTCCATTCTATGATGAACCAGGACCAGTATCACGCATCACTTTTAAACAAAGGTCAACCAGTCGGCCTCGGCTGGGATGGCATCACTAAAGCTTCAAAACCTAAAGTAAGTCAATATTTATGTCAGAAGATACATCATATATTTATATAATATATAAATCAGAGAGGTTTGTTTGCTTATTTTGTAGAACACGGTAATTTTTAAATTACCACTCGGACATAAGAAAAAAACCCATTTTCGTTTGATACCGCAATTATTAAGGTTTCAACCTATTAACGATCACTATATAAAGAAGCTGAGTAAAATGATAATTGTGACAATAGGAACGTAATCGAAAAAGTTAGTGTATAGATAGATAGAAAGATAAATAGTGCGGACGGGTGAACAATGCTATGTCGAAAGACTGCAGGCGAAGCTTTTTGGCGACGTTAGTACATTAGGCCTGTAATACATACGCAGATAGAAAAGGAGAATTAGAGGATTTCTTTAACATATTCTGTTTATAATTTTCAGGTATACCCCATGGACCCCCCTAATGACACAGACCCAGATGACACAATCAAGAGGGTACAAGAAAACGACCAGAAATTGACTGATCTTAACTGGAACAATATCAAGGTAATTTAAACTATTATATATCTCCTCTTATTATTTATGGTCTCTTCACAGGCTTCACGGAGCGACCTCACCGTTTCGAGGATTTGTGTTCTCACATAAGCCTAGAGTGTGTAGCAGTGGCCACACCACTGCTACACACTCTAGGATTATGTGAGTGATTTTTCAGATTCAAAGCAACCCCGACAAAGGGGACTAGCACTTATTATGTACAAGTGTTTGTTTAAGGGACCGTGGCCCGTTATTGTCCCTATCATTATTAAAAAATATATATTGTAATATTTTCAGAACATAAGCGACGAGAAGTTCGAGAAGCTGTTCGAGGCGCTGAAGACTAACACGCACGTGGAGGTGGTGTCGCTGGTGAACGTGGGGCTGCACGACCGCGCCGTGCAGCAGCTGGCCGCCGCGCTCGAGGCCAACAGCTCGCTGCGCGTCCTCAACGTGGAGACCAACTTCATCAGCCCCGCCGGCGTCGTGCAGCTCGTGCGCGCGCTCCTGCCCACCGCCAGCGTCGAGGAGTTCCGCGCCTCCAACCAGGTCTCTATGTCGTTATTAACTCGAGGACAGGAGGATTCAACTTCGTCAGCAACGTCTCTGTTAAACATGTCATTTCTTTGTCGAGAACGTATCGATTGAGAAGAAATTAATTTATGTAGTGGGGTATGAGGCTGATGTCATCGTCCTTACGACAGCTCGCCGTTTGTCCCTACTGGCTGCCATTCTGATACACTCGTGGAGTGTACCTAATTTTATTTAGCATACTCAAAAAACATACCACTTGCTGCTTGGAAGGTATTGTTTTTATAAAATGTGTGAATTGTAAGGAGTGTAAAGAATGTTACAGAAAGGAAGTAGAGTAGACAGCATAAATTAAAAATGGAAAAGAAATACAAAACTGTATGTGGTAGTCTGTTTGGCTAAACACTAATGAAAAGGTTTAGTAGCGTTGTTTCCTCCTTTTGTTTCGAACTGTTCTTAATTTTAAAGAAGTGATTAAGTACTGTAAAGTTTTTAATAAATTTCTAATTATAGAAATATCGTGGATTTCAAATTGATGTGACTCTATCACAATGTATTTTAACGGAATTAAAGCATCCACTGCTCGTCTATAATTCTTTTGTCCATTACATAGAAACATGTTACATGAAAGTTAAAGCTTTAATGATCAAACACTGGGGTTTTTTTATATAATAACTTAAAAAAAAGTGTTACTAATCTAGTTTTTCATGAATTAGTAACATTCATTGTTTAACATTAATTGTAATTAATTAGTAACATTAATAAATAACCAAAAAATTCTTTGATTGACAAGAGTTTTATTTATTAATAATCATTGTCTATTATTTTTATAGAGGTCACAAGTTCTCGGTAACAAGATCGAGATGGAGATCACCGCCCTAGTGGAACAGAATCCTACTCTCCTACGGCTGGGCTTACATCTGGAATACTCGGACGCACGCCACCGCGTCGCCAGCCACCTGCAGCGCAACATCGACAGAAGTGAGTTTGTCTATCATCCTCACTCGCTATCATCATCATTGTCACCGACAGATCGTATGTCATACTTCCTCTCGGTCGCGTGGTCACACGACCCCAGTTACGTTGTTCAGCGCTGACTTACTACTAGATTTATGTATTTGTGATTACTGGCACTCAAGGAAGGTGTTACTTACGAATGGATGGACTGTGTAAAAGAGGATATTGTAAGAAAAGGGAGTAAATAACTAAATGCCTACGTACAGAGATTAATGAAAAGGAAAAACATATTATGTTTCGGAATTATTTGAAATTTCCAAGGAAGTCATTAACATTTGTATTACAATATATAACTATATACCATACAACTGTATGGTTGGAAACTTGCGATAATAAAAAATTATTGCTACAGAATAATCTAAGTAGTAAATCAGCCATGACAATGATTTTTAATGTTAGCGAGTTGTTAAAAATATATAGAGTACTACTTGAAAGCATACCTATTAAAAGGGTATTAATAGTAAACAAGGCAGTCACTATTAAAATCCAGAGAGGAAATTTGACAGGAAAATGTAAATGAACTTGTTAAAGTTTAAATTACTTCGATCTACTGTTTCATTCATAATATCTAATGTATATTTCGTGCTGTGAGACACAGCATCTCAATAGCTATTCAATTATTTATTAAGAATGATGTACTTGAAGAAAAATGGCAAACTAGAGATGAAAAAGTCAAAAAAATTAATAAAGTTAATCACTTTGTTTCTGTATCTGTAGTAAGATCACAGATGAAGCACAATTTTATCAGTCAAAATAGAATGCACAGAACAACATTTGTTATACAGTTATTTACTTATATATCTCTAGGTCGTGTATTTCTAGAAGCTAATGTTTTAATTTGAATAAAGGCCGTAAAATGACTGTATATGAAGCTATAAGACCTTAGTGCTTTAGAATGGTAAAGGTACTAAAGACATCAAAGTATTTTAAGATGTCAATGGTGTATCCATTTATGTCTATAGGCGATAAGGTTTTTCTATAATCAATCACCAAAATTTCAAAAATCAAAGGCACATGATCGAATAGAATTCAAATACACCAGATTTATATTTCTAAAAATGATTAGTTCAAACTCAAATATCAGAGGATTTTAAATAAAAACTCACAAATTAGACAACATAACTTGAACAGTAAATTCAATTCCATTTGATCATGTAAAAAGCAAATCCGGTGAAAGATGAACTTGCTTATAGCAACCAAATCAAAGTGTAATTAGGCTTAATTACGTTGATCTTAGTTTGATTTTCTTGCTATGGCAATTGTAGAATCTGAATTGTCTGATGAAGAATTGAAAACGACCTCTATCGGGATTGGAAATCGTTTTTAACAGGCATAAATCTTCGGATATGTTCTTAGAATATAACTTGAGCGTTGATAGATGATTTTAAACAATATTTTAATATTAATATTTTATCAATATCGACACTCAAGGTATATATATACTTAATGTCCAACATTATGGGGATGCTTAAAATATACATATGTACATGTTTCACTTGGGAAATCTAAATGACTAATTGTCTAATTTTAAGGTAATTTTGGTATCATATCAACAAATGAAATCATTTTAATATTGTTTTCTTGGTACATGTAACTATATGTCACCTCTGATTCAATTGAAGTTGTTGTTTGCAATTGTCACTGTAAACAGCAATATTTGATTTAATATTGCATCGTCACTTGTCAATAAAACATTGCGTGTACGCAGTTTGGATGCAAAATTCGCTTTATTTGATAGTAAGCAAAAAGTATTAGCCATTCAGAATAATTCATCAAAGGCAGATATAGTTAATAATAAGAAATATGTTTGAATTGTCAATAATTTTAAATTGTTAATAATAAGAAATATATTTAAAACAATTAAAATGTCCAGACTGCGATATTTCAAATTATGGGACTATATCATGCAAACTATGAAAAACTACAGCATCGTCACCGCACAAGAGTATGAAAATTTATCACATCATGTTAGTGCAGCGTACTTCGAAGCAATGATTACTGCCTGTACACTATTTTGTCTAGGATTGCCAACGAGAATGTAGAGGGTTGGCGCTTCACATATTATTATATCCCATTGCATGCGATCGCCATATCATTGGACGCTGTGATATCAATAAGTGGTTCTTTTTCGGAATTATTCAATTATGGAAATAAAAAAAGGATCAAAAATCTATCATTCGGCAAAAACATACTAGATTTTTTTTATTATATGATATCGCAGCGCATTTTAACTATACACGTCCATATCCTCGCCAACACTTGCAAATATTACGCAACGGGCGATTCGCTCAAGGCATCCTCAGCTTATATTAACACATTAAAGAAGACGAGAATAACTCACTCAGGAACAGTCAGAGAAGTGAAGGTTCAATAAGAAAGTGGGTCACAAATCGCAAAACATGAAGTAAACAGTTTCATAGTAATCAGTTCACAACAAATATCATATACCGATGACACTGTAAATAAATCATCGAACTTAAAAAAATATTTACGAATCGATACCAATATTCCACATCTGATATCAGATTGCCGAATACAAAAGCGAGCTAGCGCATCGCTAAGCTTGCGATTGCCCCGCGGCCGACCCCCGGCCGTTGGGGTCGACAGTAGCTTCTTCAACCTTACTCCGCCTAGCGCTGAGGCAGTCACTCCCACGATAGATGAGCAAAAGACTATAACAGATCAGCCAATGACGACTGAAAATGTTGAAAAATCAACTGTGATTGAAGCTGCAGAGAGCCCTGTCGAAAATAAGATGGTGGGTGAAAAAATAATACCAATCGATGTTGAAAACCAAAAAGAAACGGATAATGTAGTATCGAATGAACAGCAACCAGCAGATAGTACGGTGGTATCGGTTCCGGACGATACCCAACCGGTACCAGATAAAGTGGAAACGGTTGATTCTGAGAAACCCGAGACGCAGTCACAGGAAGATGTACAGAGGCTACCTGAACCCTTTGTGCTGGCGCAGAGGCCAGACGTAAACCCCAATCCCCACTCGTGAGTAAATCGCAACACTCACACTCACGCGTGTCCTTCCATTTTGTGTAGAAACATGTATATGTACACTAAGTGTAGAGCCCTATACACTGTGTAGCTTGTCAATTTAATGGATTCGAAAAACTGAGAAATATTGAAAAAAGCAATGGGCGCCTTTATAATATACTACCTGTATTCCCCGATGCTGTCTGAGCAGAATATAGCGTATGTTGCTCGCTGATAATGTAGCTATATAATATAGACCAGTATATAGTGAGCTATTCAATTACAAATAAACAATTAAATGTTTTCTCTTTACTCTAATTGTATAGACTACTGTCTAGTCATGATATCGTCCAAGTCACTTTCTTGCCTATTAGGAAAATTCTAAAAATTAAAAGTATATTTTTTCGAATTATTCTAATAGTGTTGACAGCAGCTGACCTTTACAACTTCACCATTCGAAAATAAGGGTGAGTTCAGAGGCACACTGAACCCCCGGAATCCTGACAGATCGATACGAATATAAATCTTATAACATCACAATTAAGATAATTTATAAAAGCGCTCATTAATTATCAATAAATATCTGAATGTCTTTATATTTTTTCGAATGTTCTAAGTTGACAAGCCCCCCGCCGACAAGCAGCCCCTCACCACTCACGAGAGACACTGTGTTCTATAGTCGCATTTATTCCCTTGCAGTACGAAAAGACCTAACGCTGCGACTTCAGTTCAGGTTCTTTAACAACATGCAAAAAGCGGCGCGTAGCCAATAGTTACACGAAGGTCAGACCTCGGTATACGTTGTTGGCACGGCAGTTAACAACACTTCGCTTCTATAAATGCTTTTTTATAGATTTGATTTGAGTGGCGACACTTACAGACATTGCAGTTTTATAAGGATTGGTATTTACTCGCGACTTGTCTATCATTATTATGGATTAATACGTAATTGTAATTTACTTTTTTTAATTAAAGCTATATTTAGGGTATAATAATTGCATATTTGGTTTATATGGATGACTTGATAGCTTTTATAACTTGTTTGTGAAAAATAACGCTATTTAATAATGCAACGTCATCTATTTTGAGTTACTAGTTGTTTCAATATTATATTATATTATATTTATAAATATAAGTGATGGAATAAGTTGAATTAAAAATAAAAAAATCGTTAGCAATCCAAATAAAACTGCAACAGTACAAAATATGTCTCTATTAACTGTAACAGTGAAATGCGGCATATTTCGAAATTAGTTTTCTCTATATCTATTTCTGAAATAATATATATCTATCTATTTCTTCAAAATCTGCTCTCATTCTTAATGTCCTACTCAGTACAGCTAATGTTTTGATGTGTTATATATATTTTAACAGTTAACAATTTTATTTTAGCCGAGAGGGGAGCGTAGAACCCAATGATATATTGTAGAACGGCCATGAACATCGGTAAAAATCCAGTTTTCTTAGCTCGAGTGCTCTAACTAAAGGCCGTTGACAATTGATTTACATTTGCGGGTCGTGACGTTTTTTTCACAGTGCAAAGGCTTTCTGCTAATTAAGATACGAGCTTGATAGGCCTTCAATTAGCTGTGGGGTCCCAATTGAGACAGGATAGACGCGTTTGGTTTGTAGCATACCCTAACGATGTTAACACAACAGAAAGTTACATGAAGTGTTAAGAATAACTGTTTGTCATATGAAAATGTATACTAACGCATGCGTGTGAGAAACTAACTCGAATGCCAAAGTATGAAGTGTACTAAATATCAGTCGGCACAAGAATAGAGTTTTAAGCATGCGTTCTATTAAAAAATATGTATTTAAATATCCTATACCTATTTAAAAAATATATAATTTATAATACTTATTAATATTGAATCTGATACCTTAAGATCCAAGTTTTTTCCTATGTGACCCTAGCGATACTGGCATTCACAATATTAATTTTAAATTTGAATTTAAATAAGGATGTCACCACAAAGGAAGCAACAGATATTATTTTAAACATAAAATAATGAGTACAAAATGATATGTAGTGATTATACCCATATTATGAATGCCGGTATTGGTTCGTGTATGTACACCCTATGACTTTGGTTTGTGTGTATGTATTACAGTACGCCAGCAGCGACGGAGCCAGAACAACGCATATTAGAGCCTTGAACACACACACGTGGTAAGTACAGAACACAATACAAACTTTACTTAGTTACTAATTACTAGACACGTAATCACCGTCATAATAATTTTATATTACAATATATTGGAATATCATCATAACATTGGAGCAGTCGTAAATAGATTAGGGATGCATTTATTGTTGGTACTGATATACTGGCGATTATTTCTTCAGTATATTTTTTAATAAGTTGCAAATTAATATTTTTTAATTGATTATAACGAAATGGGCAGCAACAAGTCCCTTTTTACTAATAATCCCCTTCTTTCCAAATTAAACTGATTCTAAAGAATAACTATTCAATTACAATATGTACAAGCGTTATTTGCAATTGAAACTATTAAACCGTATGTACCTAATCGTTGATCTTGCAGTACTTACATGTTGCACCCAAGAATTTTAAACGAGTCGAAACTATTTATAGTTTATAGACTTAAATGTACTGTTAAGTAACTCGTTGATATTGTGAGCACAAATGCTTCTAAAGCACTAATAAATTAATTACTATCTTTGTAATTATGGGTTGACTGGTAGAGATTTTACAGATAGTTCTACCTTTACGCACATATTCTCTTAAATTTTATTACTTTATTTCTGATTGCATTAAATACTACATAATAATGCATTCCTTTCTCTATTTTGTTGTATCGATAATGGTAACTCTAATTTCTTTTCATTTTATAATTAAACAAAAATCGTATTTACTTTAATATATTTCACACAATCAAATCAATTATATGACAGATGAAATTAACACCAAACATTATGTACAGTGCATGAATTTGCTTTGACGCGTTTGAACCCATATATTAATAGTAAATTTGCATTTATAACATATTAATAAAACAATACTATACACTCACATGCTCAAAGGATGAGGACAGATATCATTCTTTTATTATACTTGTATAGTAATAAGCGATTTAGTTCTGTATGTATTTATTTCTAATACTTCTATTATTAAAATATTAATCTAGTAGATAATTTTAATTAATAATACTAGGTAGAAAATGTTTGTATTAATAAGAACAGGTAAAGGAACTACTTCTGAATACATATATATAGTTTATTTTCGGACAGTTTTATGCCCTAAAATAAATATTATAAAGGTTTAATTCCGCTTATGTCGTGTAAAACTAATCTATAACCAATTATTTCTGCTACTACATAATACTTCTGCTTATTTAGTTGTATTATTAGAATTGAATAATAAATTAAACTAAAATATAGTTTATTATGTAGTGTAATACAATCTACGTAGCTTACTAATTAAGTCTTTTTGTTTTAAGCTTTTTTATTTAAATTAATAATACCACTGGTATCCTAATTATGTTAGTTAAGAAATACCAATGTTGGAGTGTAAGCGAGACAAACGTAACGCAATTTTCATACAAAAGATCAATTTTGGTTTACAAAGTGGTGTGTACATAATAATGATGAGTTGTTTACAATAATTTTATATTTTAATGAAAAAAATCTATTTAAAACATCATTTTTAACGTACTTTTTCTAATATATTTATGAAGCTGACCAGTACGACTTTTACCTTTCGTAAGTAAAGGTATTTTTACTTACGAAACGAACTATTTCGTGGGTAACGGGCAGTTATCTCAACTTCTTTCTTTATAGTAATACCCACAAAATTAATAATAGTAGAAGACTGAACAAAGTAGTCTGTCCATACTGTCGCAAACATCTTCATCCTACAAACTGAAATATAACAATAAAGATACAGGGTACGCAGATATAGGGCAGTTCTCAATAATGGAAGTTCATGAGGAGTACTACGGACGTTCATATGTCCAAAAATGATACATTGCCTATATACATGATTCGCACCTATTTTTTCATGTATATAGTCGAAAGTATCATTTCCCATCCGGTATGCCGTATGGTCATAATTCTCATATGAGTGTTAATTTCTATTGGTCCATGCGTGCAGGTGGTCGTCTGCGCCGCTTGACCCAGTTCACTCGGAGCCGCAGCTACGTGGTGGGCTGGATCCCCTGAGCTGGCGATTCTCCACCGCGCCTGCCCTCTTGCTGGCCTCAACGCTTTTTCGCAACGGTATTTGTGACTGTGTAGTATATATATATATACGTTATACGCCAGATACTTCAAATGTTTGCACAAATATTGGTGCTCAAACACGCATTTTGATGCAAATAAAAGCGTATTCGCTACGTTTGCAAACACGTGCTCTCATAGTACTCAGTAATAAACTTTCGTATAATTCACGCTATATGTATTTGTAATTTAAACGCTTTAATGTTTGTTAAAAACTGATAAAAAGTACAAATGTTTGTTCAAACTTTGAAACTACGACTGGCACAGGATAGCAGGTAATCAGCACAAAAGTAGCATAAAGGTCATTTTATAAACCATATAAGTCGTTTACTTGTTCTAAGTAACTTATAAGTAATCAATGCAATTAATTTAACGACAACATATTAAGTAATGTAAATACAAATTTTCTTTTTGGATAAATTAATCCAAATTAAATTAATAATTAATCCAAATTAAAATGTAAAAATCAATATGACAGGAAAGATATTGCGAGCTTCTCAGAATATTTGAAAACCAAGCGTATAGTACTTTTCTATTCGTTTTTTTACAAAAATTAATATAATATCTAATGCACTTACAAATATATTAGCTGTAAAGAGGGTCTTTATATAAATATTTTTTATGAACCCTATCCTGTTCTAATAAGGGTCATAATTGATCTACCATGTTACTTACGGTGAGGTTACACAATGAACTGTCTATTAAGTGTTAAGTGCTATTTATTGTTGAAAGTACATATTAAAAGTTAATTTAAATGTTATGTAATAATCAGAACCGTACAATTTTTAAATATGATGTTACAGATTTATATGTTGTCGCATTGTAGCAAATGTAAATGATTAAATTTGAGATATTAGAAATATATAAGTACATAGCACCATAAATGATGATCTTGTAAATTGTTATAGGTGCAATTGTTTTGAGAAATTTATTCTAATCCTGTATTATAAGTGGAATTTGGCCATTTTTGGCCAATTTAATTGCGTATTAATCAAGGATATCGCCAAAGTTCAATGCAACAGTTGTACTAATAAGCATATGTTATTGCAATACTACACAATCACAAAAACCTTATGTCAGTATATTGTGAACGTGGCGATTGTATGTTGTGTATTGGCAAGAATTGTCACTTTATTTACCCGAGTACCGAAGAAAGGGTATTAATGATCATTTTACGATTTACTAGATGCTGGCAGGACCAACACTAGATTCACTCAATAAACAATACGACCAACTTTTTATTATTATTAGGCAATGAATTTGTGGTTCCAACATATAGAGATGATCTTAAGAAGTAAATTGACAATATCTTATCATAGTATGAGCGACTGTGCATGTTTTAATGTTAATTCTTATTTTAGTGTGCTAATGAAATCTAATTTTACTACTATAATAAATTGTAATATATTTTATAGATGTGCAACATTCCATTAATGCAAAACATGCTTCTCTTGTTATAAAATATGCTTTTATATTTTTTATTTGGTCACATTTAAAAATTTTGATGAATTTTAAATATTTAATGGAAGCGACTGAAATAATTTTACTTATTTATGGAATTTTTATTTTTATATATTTGAATAAAGCTGTTTAGACATGGGTCTGTACATGAAATATAAAAAAAGTTTAATAGCATAGATATTTTTTACTATGCAGTTTTTTATATTCAAATAATTATAACGTCATTAACGCCAAATCAACTTTACATTTTACAGCCTTTTAAAAGCAGATAAATCAAACTGCCAATGATTTGCAATGAATTATAAATCATGTAAGCTGTATGCACATAAGCTGCGGGCAGCTGTTGTTTAAGTTAGATAAATAGTTATTTTCTTCGTTTTTAACTCGACTGATTGTTAATGTTTTTAATAACTAAATTATACAGTACTATTTTCTAGTTTTAAAATATATGAGGCGAAATTTCTTTTTAAAACGATTATTACTTGACATTGGTGACATGTGACTTGTAGTTGTAACCTATAGAGCCAACAATGAGATGTATGTTCTGTATCAATGGATAGTTAACGTTAACTACTTTTCAACAAAGCACTAGGTTTTATTAGTAATTAGAGACGTGCCTTCCACATGATGTATTCTTTATTTTGTAAGAGAAGTACGGACTTTAATACTACGTGATACTTAGAAAGATTGGGCCTGCAAAATTTATTATACACTAAGATTCCACCAAAACTTAAACAAAATAAAAATAATACAGAGACATTGTGTAAACACGCGATGTTGACAAATAGCAACATTCAAATATTGCGATATTTTCTGTAACTACTATTATAAAATAATATGAATAATAGTATTTTTCTCTCTTTTTATTACAAAATACGTATAAAATTGTTTACTCAATATCACTATATACAATATTACAAGATCTTCATCAATTTAAAAATATAGTGGCAAATGCGGTCGTGCATTTGCGCCATTTTATAATTAATACTTTAGTGTTGTCATTACTAAAAAATGTTCCTAATGTTATCCATAATATTTCTTTAACTTTCCGGGCAGGCCTGATGATATAATATTAACTTTTTTTAATTGTACATTTTGCTGGTGTTCAGTTTTTATAAGCCGGTAGTAAGGTATCCTACATTACAGGTTAAGATTTGCATATTTTCAATGAATGACACCGCACTGCGAAGGCTGTTGATGTACAGTTAGCTTCCTTCCGACCTTTTGCTTTCTTGAGACTAAAATATTTGCTTATCTTTAAATGTAACTCTTTGTATATTTGATTGTGAATCTACTGGGGAAGTAAGTAACATTGTGATAAACAAATGTTTTTCCATTTAAAAATACTGCTTCGATTTTTCGTCTTTAGTTTCCATAAGAGAGATTATTTAGGCTCATTCGTAGAATGTACACATTGTACTGGCAAATATTCAATTTTTATGTATCAGTGATGATAAGGTTAAATTATTATTTTTTAATGTAAAAAAAATATTTTTTCGAATTATCACTTTAATACAGTTAAAATCAGTATGAGAATAGAAGATTTGCGGCCAATGGACATTTTACGAGTGAACCATTATTTGTATAGCTATGTATTTAGATTTTTAAATGTATTATTCTTTTATGCGACGATTATTTTATGAAAGAAATTTTTAATATAAAACATTATTTGTAACGATAGTTTTTATTTATATGTTGATATTGGGTTCAGGAGCATTTGGTCCAATAATATCCTCGACTTGTAGAGTCGCAGTTCTGTAGTTTGTGACAAATATATACAAAAAAAGCAAATAAATTACATAAACGACAGCCTATCTTTTATTTACGATTACCACTTTCTTATTATAACAATAGTTATGTTTTTAATATGTACAACTATGAAATATCTGTTCTAGACACAGCGCTAGTTCTAGGCTTGTCACGTAACTGATAAATTAATAATACTATTTGAATGGAATTTTATGAGAATATTTCAATGGGTGTCTTGATGGTAAAACAGAATATGAGCTGATCAGTGCCGCTTCATTTTCGACCGGAACATTTTCCGGGTTCGCTATCATTAACATATAATCACTCTTAATATATTACAGTGCAGTGATTCCGGAGTTTACTTTTTAGAATAAAATGCACACTAAAAGGAGAGTACGTTAATTTGTGTAATAGATATGTAGAGCATTAGTGACGGAATTTAACTAGGTTGTTATAGTAATTTATTACATTAAATATCAAAACTTTTTTCTTTATTATGTAAGTAGTCTTTTAACAATTGTCGACGAATTAAATAAATCTCTAAGATTTTGTGAAATGTGGAGAAAAAACGACTCCCACGCTGTTCTGTTCTTTATAAAATTCCTTAGCAACTAGCAAACAAGGATAATCAGTTCAAACCATACTGAGGGATGTCATCAGTTTGGTGGGACTCACGTCCCACGTCACGTCACGATTTGTAAATCAACTTGTTTTACCGGGACGGGTATGTTACATGTAAGTAACATACCCTTTTTTAGCATGGCAGGGACTACTAGTAGGTTACTAAAATAAAAGTCAAATAATGCACACAAAGCTTTATTTTGATCCATTAGATATGTTCTTGTGACATGTTTTACTCAATTCTACAAGTCTAATTAACAGTTAATTTTCATCGTGATAACGATATTGTATTGTCATATTTTGGAAGACATTTTAAATATAGCTAAGGTAGGGCATACAACCGCATAAAGGCGTATATTTTAATAAATAAAAAAAAGTATGAAATATATTATTTATAAAATGGATATATACGATACAAACAAAATATACTATATCTTATAAATATTTTATGAGGTCTATTAGTATTTACTAAGCGATAAATATGTTCCGATCGTAGTCACTAAAATTGCATCTCCGGTAAAAGTCTATTCAAACTTGCCATGTACTACAACTATACTTTAGTTTTTTATTATTACTAGAAAAATGGTAGCAGAGCAGTAGTCTTATGATAATGTATGTAGAAGCATGAAGCACTGAAATCACTACAAATTGTGATAATAATTGAAGTAAAAATGCGCATTTCAAGTGAATTTTTCAAGACAAAAAGTGTGATATATTTGTTTCACACATACAAGTGCTTCATTAAATCTACTAGGAATGTTTTCTACTTACGTTACATTAGAAAGCTTTTAGTTGTTTTAATATATCATCTTATAGATGCATCAGAAAGAGATAATGTAATAAAATATTATAAGGAATTTCATTCTAATATATTTTTAATAACTCTACTCTATGATCTAAAGTCTACAAATTATTAACAAATCTGGCAACACGTCAGATGATAGTATATATATTATTACATATGCTACTCAAATAATTTATTTCAGGAATATTAAAGCAAACAGTAAATATTGGGTTCATCAGAGGTGAATTGAATGAAATTGTCTTATATTTTCCATACACACGTGTTTAAATAATCCTATACACATGTTGGTACAATTTGAAATACCTATATAGTGATAAAAACAATAATTAAATACACAATCAAACAAACTGCTTTGTATCCAGTATATAAATGCTTTATGTAATTTAACCTATATCTGATTTCGAGAGGTGATAATGCTTCTCTAAATCTGATTTTAGTTTTTAATAAAATATCTATTAAAACGTGTTTTCCAAAATAATTGCACATAGGTATATAAATCTATCAATTATGCATGAATCTAATTCTTTATATTTCAAAATAACGCCATCTAAGTACTAGTCGCAAACCATTTACTCTACATTTACAAATTAATAATAATGCGTAACAAGTAAAGAAATTTAGAAAAATATTAAAAATCACCATCAACAGGATTTCAATCCCAAATAAAAATAACTTAATTTCATGGTTTCCTAAGACAAAATAACCGAAGTAAAACTATTAAGTGTCGACAGATTTTGACCAAAAAGAAAGATTTTGAGATCATTTATTTCTATAATAACCATAAACCAGAGGTATCCAGCAATTTCTACTTTTTTTCTACTTTGATAATTTAATTGTTAAAATTACTGTTAAGATGTTACATCAATTCTATTGTAAATTTGCTAACAGTTAAACATTTATGATATAAAATGGCACAAACTGCAAATTTAATTAGCTTAATAAATATAAGTACACACATTGTATCGTTAGAACAATTATAAACTTCTTTATTGCATGCAAAATATTGTTTTTTGTTTTCATTGAAACTTCAAACTAACAAAGCTTCCCTAGTAAAACAGGACGTGTTTACATTACATTTATATAAACTTATTAAACTAATAAAGTACTATATAAAACATAACATTTTGATAAAATTATAACATCTTTTTAGAGATCAACTTATAATTGATAATTAGCGCTCAATTAATATTACTCGATTCTCCTACAATCTACGATACACACACCTTTTTTATTAAAAAGAAATAAACACACCTATAATAAATTAAAATCTTATCTAAAAGAATGTTTATTACAAAAGCACAATAGTTCAAAATATATGTATATTTTGTTTTCCTTTAAGTATCATCTTTAGTAAATAATCTAAGCATATTTTATTCAAATTATTTTAATTAAAATAATAACCCAGGACAGTTCACACAGCACCAAACTAAGCTTTACTTGTATACAGTTACTAAATCATCATCATCAGCACTAGAGTCGAAAATACCATCCATCATCACTATCGGCAGTAAGTAGTGCTAAACCGGTACACCACCGAGGACGGCAATAAGAAAATAATATTTTTTTATCAATTAGACACATAAGTACATGCCTTAAAATGTTTAAAAATAAGTTTCTAGTTACTATGTAAGTATGGATTTAAAAATCCAGTAGCGAGGCCTAAGGAGTCAGCAATTTTTAGAGAAATTGAGCTAAGAGATGTGTCTATCCTTAATTAGTTAATGATAATTTCTCAATGAGTGATTTGAATCGTTATGACTGAGATGTTAGAAATTATATATAATTGAATATTCGGAATATCATTAAATAACTAAGACTTTTAATAATTATAAATCAGTAATTACATATCTATTTATAAAAAACCTCTATAAGTCATTCATAAATAGTGATTACTAATAATTCTTTAAATCAAGAAGTAAATTTTTACTGTAACGACTTTATGGAAACTTTTTATTACAAATTAGACCGTTAAACTGTAACACTTCAAATTTATCTGTATAATAAAAAGCGTATTCCTATTTTTATAAACTGATTTTATTTAAAAAATATTACCAAAAATTTATACTTAATAAGTACAGATTTCAAATTGGATGCTATTTCTTCTACAGATTATATAAAAAGACACCTACTAATATTACAACTGTCTTATAAATCTGTTTATTATTAAAATAGCTAAACGAATTTGAATGAAATTTAGTAGAGATGAGACAGTACCCTAGAAAAACACATTGTATAGGTAATTGCATGCGGATGAAGTCGCGGGGTAGAAGCTAGTATCTAATAAGTTCAATTCAAACTATTCACTAGTCTTCTAATATAATGAAAAAGAATATAACCACACATAATGTGGACATTCTTGCAACTGCAGTTTAATACTGACCAAATATGGCTGTATGTGTAATTACTGACACTTAAAAAAAAAATTTTGTCTTTACGTAATATGTATACCGCCGTTATTTATCATTTCCACCAGATATACGAACGAGATATAACTTTATAATATTTTTAATTAGCACTACATTTACATTAAGGATGATCCATATTAGAAAAACATCGTTGTTGAAATCTATGAGTATCGATATATTTTTAAAATATAATGAAAAACAGTGATGTTTCGCATTTCGTATCGTCTAGTGTTTTGTATTTTTTTTACATACGAACGAGCTTATTTCTCACCTGATGGTAAATGATTACCGCCGCCATTGTGCACCGCAACAACAGGGGAATTGTCGCAAGTGCGTTATTGGCCTTTGAAGAAGGAATAAGCTCTTTTCTTGAAGGTTTATCATGGTATCAGTTCGGTAATACCATTGCTGAGAGGTGATTCCACAAAGTGGTTGTGTGTGATAAGTTTGTAGAACACAGCACGTTGGAGGATCGCTGTTCGTTCAATGATCAGGATGATATTTTAGTTATTGGCGGGCGGTACGGTGGTGAAACTAGCAACTGGTATTCATCCGAACACTCACCGTAATATATAGAAAATAAACAAAGATGCAAAATCTTGCCTATAGTCTGTTTTCTTTGCGATATGGGATATCACAAGGTAAAAGACTATACAAAAAGCAAGATGGTACGAAATGAGATGGCTGAAGACGAAACATCAATATTTTTTATCACTTTCTTTGTATAATGTCTGTCGATGTTATTTAAAACTTTTCATCGATACATCGATGTTATCGATAAACTTGTAAAAACGACTATGTTTATCGATCACCCCTAAATTGCATGTAGTAATATTTTTTTAAGAAACCAAATTATTATCATCATAAAGTACTCCAGTTTGTTACCTTCATTTATTTGAAGGTTTTTGGTTGTTAGCCCTTGGTCCAATAAGTTCGTTCGATGTCTTACTAACAGCCGCTTAAGTTACAAGTAGCCCATTTTACTGTTTCTCAATGCCGTTGTTCTGTATGTTGTCTCGTCGCCAGCTCAATAACTCATCGAGCAGCGCGTCCAACTGTGGATTACCACCAAGGGACGCGATCTGAAAGACAATCAATTCATTGAATCGAGAATACAAAACAATAAATCTATGTCAGATCTGGACTTGTATTCTTCTAGCCTCTGGCGCTATTAAAGATTACTGAACCCAGAACCTTTTAAATATAGGTTTAAATATACCATTTCTATTCCAGACTTTACAGCCAACTTTGCAGCAGTAATTTTTGATAATTGCGTTGATCAGGCGTTTTTATTTTTATTATTTGTATACCTTCGAATTTATGTATTTTTACTTTACTGCTTCTAATTGTTACACTAATTATTACTCCAAATTTAATCCATGTAAAAACTAAAATGAGAAATTAAATGTGTTGTTAAACTGTGCATTAGAATTTGTTATTGACAAATTCCATTGTGTCCATTACGAGACAATACTTTATCTTTATGTTAGAAAATATTATCAGGCATATAATTAACACGTATGGAATTAACTTAAATTAACATACGCTCACAGTAAATAGAAATATGATAACAGACCAAATATATCATGGCAACGGATTTCAAATAGACTACATTTTCTGTGTTAATCAATATCTATATATAATTATAATATATCGCTTCCACTGAAACGACTTCATTTTTAAAGACACATTCATTCGTCGGTTCTCTGAAGACATTTATTTAATTTCTTTTTTAATTATTTTTTTCCGGAGTATTCTAATACTGTTGGCCGCAGCTGGCCTTTACAGCTTTACCGAACAATAGTAGGCGAGTGCAGATGGCACTTACATATCTAAATCCGCGGAATATAATAAGAATACGAATTTAGTATTAGGGCACTGCAAGGGGTTCGAACCTCAGGCCTTCGTAATTTTGATCGCCGTTGGAATTGGCGGGGATGCCTAGTGGACTAAGTGGATATTACTAATGATTACCTCAGCACGTGCCTCAGCATCAAGCTTGATGAGCGTGTCCCTTGTATATTGGAAGCTGCCAAGACGCTCCAGAAGCGAGATGCAGTATCTCTTCACTTCCACATCACGAGTGCGTTGTCTTAATATGTCTGATCATTTGTTAAAGTATAATCATTAATAGTAACGTTACAACCGGCTAGTAATAGACGGCTTAGGTGGTGGTGGTTCTAGTAGTGGCCTAGCACTGCGCTTTACGTCGCGGGTTCGATTCCTCGCACGACCTTTTGTCGACCAGCTGTCGCTATTGGTTGCGTTCAGATACCTGTTGTAGAGCGGCGCTGACAGTTATATTCAGCTGGCCATCGAAAGCGACTTAAATTAACTTGCAATATCTCTCTTTTATAAGAGATAACTGCGCGTAATCATGTTTTATTGTAACTGAGAAGTTATAAATTTATATTTATAAATGTATTAATTGTTAATTGCTAGTTGGAAGAGAATAGAGAGGAAAACGTTGTTTCTGCTGATGAATGCAGATGTTAGTCATGTAAAGGATACGGAGCACTTGGTTGTCGCCCTCCTGGTTCCTGATTGCATGGATGATGGGGAAGCTGAACTTGCCCTCAGTCAGGTCCTCGCAGAAACTTTTGTTCTCTGAATACTGGAAACATTGTAAACGAGAGTTAAGACATGTGTTACCAGTGATTTCATTACATTTATGATCGGATAGGCTATGTTCTTTCACTATATCTATCTTCATGCCAAATTGCATTAAGATCCCTTCAGCCATTTAGGGGCCATCTAATAAACACGTGAGGCTTTGACAAAAATCACGAAATATCACAATGGGGGGAACTACTAAGATCACGTGTATTTATTTTATGCCAATCAAAAACAATCTGCAACCTTTTTGTCTAGACACTTTTATCATGGTCCTTAATTTCAGAAGAAAATAAGATTTTACTTTATACGTATATTTAAAGATAATATTCTAAAAATTTTAAGATTCTTTGTAGGTACTACAAATACTTGTGATGTTGAGTGGAGGGGAGGGGAGGGGGGGGGGGGGGGGGGGGGGGGGTGGGGGGGGGGGGGGGGTTTCGAACTTAATTATTTCAAAATGACGAATAACCTATTATTAACTTCATATTTATAAAATATCAAATATGAGATGAAACTGTCTTTTACACATTTTTAACCGCATCCAGTAATTCCGCTGCTTTATATCAACCATGGTTTTTCAAGAAGGTTATATTAAGGTTTCTTCAGGGACGGCAACGCGCACGTAACACGCCTGGTGCTTCAGGCGTCCATAGGCTACGGTAACCATTTACCATCAGATGAGCCGTATGCTTGTTTGCCGCTATAGTAGTATAAAGAAAAAACATCCAACTGAAACAGTAGAAGTCCAGCTGTATGTCCCTTCAATTATTATTCCAGACAAGCTGTTACCCGTGACTTCGTCCACGTTATATAATAAATAGATTTTTGATATTCTAATAAATAGATTTTCTAAAACAAAAGTAACCTAAGTTACTCCTTTTAATGTTAGCAAGATATACCTAGATAATAAAATTTGTATTAATTTGTTTGATTACTTGTATGGACTGAGTATTTTTATCGGTTGTATAGTACCCAAAACACACATTCTGCTTAGCTTGGGCCTAGATGGCCCGTGTAAATTTTGGGATATTATTATTATAAAATATTACCATAGGATGTCCCAACTGCAAACTCTTCTCCAGAGCGATGATCAGCACGTAGTTCGCCGCGTTGATGGTACTGGCCACCCCGTATATGGAGTGAGCGACAGGGATGCCCCGACGAAGGATGGAGTTGTCTTGGATATCGTCGATCCTGTAATAAATGAATGAATAATTTCAATAATAAATTTCAACTGACGGCCTCGGTGATCTAGTAGTCTAGCACACTGCCTTACTTCCGATGGTCGCGGGTTCAATTCCTCGCACGGCACAAACATTTGTATTCATGAGTATCATTGTATTTGTCTCGGTATTTTTCTGTGTATAATATGTATGTATTTACGAAAAAATCTATGTATTTGCATTAGTTACAGTCTCCATAGCACAAGCTTTAGCTAGCTAACTTCGGGTCTAGACGGCACTGTGTAAATTGTCCTGAGATTGTTATTATAATTTCGAATGCCTATACACCTTACACCAAATAAATAATAATGATTTTGAAGCAATTCACATAGCGCAATCTAGTAACCTATGTTTGTCTATAATATCCAGACCAATACAAACAATCATAAATAAATACAATATAAATGTTTCATCGTGCGAGGAAACCAACCCGCGACCGGCAGCAATAAAGCGGTGGCGTTATGTTTATTAGCCGTCAAAAATATAAATATTTCTTAAAGGTTATTATATAATGCGAATTGCTCGAATTTTTTTACATATAGTATTATATGTAAAAAATTCTCAATAATTACTAAATATTATTATTCCCATGATACGATGATAAATAAAGTGGTTATTAGTGATAAATTAAGAGAGGAAGAAGAGTAAAGGAAAATCGTAGATTATTGTAAAAATGAAATATTTTTAGCCCTATCTTAATAACTATTTAATAACAAAACAAAATCTATTTTAAGAGATATAAAGGGTTAATCGTAAAAGGTAAAGCCGATAGATGATAATAATAACGATAACTCTTTTTTGCGCACTGAAATATATGATGTGAATATGTTTCCTCAAGAAGTTATTTACATATTTTTTAACAATATGTGATAATTTATATTGTTAACCCGGACTTAACACGAATGATTTTATGGTAAATAAAAGTGTTTACGTCTATCAACGATTCGACTAGGTTGCATTAGACGTGGTCACGAGCTATAATATATAATAACTACATAATATATGAGATGTATATAAGTATAAGATACATATAAGTAAATATTATACCCTTTTAAGTTATATAATAATCACTTTAATATATTACAAATTCACAATAGTTTTGCAAAAAAAAGGAGAGAGAAAGGACCATGTGTAAATTTTATCGCAAACTCGTAGGTTCCTAACAAACTGGTATACGCGACTATGCTAACAGTATATATGCTGGCAGAGCACCAGTTGCAGTTGACTGGTAGAGAATGAAATAAGGTCTGCTAACTTATTGTAATATAGACACAAAATTACTCTACATCATCATAAAATTACTCTTAGATGGGTACCCTCCGATCGATCCCCCGTCCAATTCAAACGGGGATCGATATTACGACGGCCTGAGCCGAGGTTCGGGTTCGAACCGTCGTAATATCGATAACGGTGCCCTCAGACTAAAGTCGTATCCGTCAGGCGGGAGTTGGCCTTCAGTTGCTCCATAAGTCCTTCCGCGGGTTTGGAGCGCCATTTCAAATTCACAACTTTTCACTAAATGTATAAAATGTACTAAATACACATAAATAATTGATTTTTTTCGGTTCTCTTTTTGTTATTGCTAATCAGTAGCTGTAGCGGGGCGTTTTTAACGTGATTTTCACTGGCAGATAGCTAATATTATGAGTAACTGCAGGTTTACCCCTTATTGAACTGTTATATTGTAGGTACTTGTCATTTGATGTTGTAATTAAGCCTGTATGTGTGTACTAAGATACAAATAAAAACTATTATCTATCTATCTAACTTGGAGCAGCCTATATTTTAGTAATTTTATTAATGTGACTAAAAACAACATATATATTTTGTAGTTCATCGTCGTACTAAAGTACTCACAGTAAACTAGAATTGTGCAGCATTTGAACGATTTCACCAACGGCGCGCAACTTTTCATCTGACACTTTCAGCCAGTAATTAAACGCCGAGGTGAGCTTGGTCCGTATCTGCTTCCCTGGTACTTGCTGAATGTATGTAAACGGCAGCAGGATTTTCTGGAACAATCATTACATACTGTTAAAAACTGTTTTACCATGTCAGGTTGACCTCCACGCTATTCTCCCTGGAAACCATCGGGATAAATCCCTGGTGAACTTAACACGATGGGCTAACTGACCTGACCTCATGCTCATCCTATCATCCTCCACTGGCACTTCGCCAGCGTAGACGGTCAGCGCAGTCGGGAGAACAGTTACATTATCAACCATTAAAATTATTTGTGTATCCTAGATCGGTAAATAACAAAAAATAAAATTTATTTATGTTTTGTTATTTTTAATATAATAAATTTATATGAATCTGTATATAGTAAAAAACCCGCATCTTAGTTGTTTTTTTTATGAGTAATGGGGGCTGCCTGATAACCCGCGCGATATAGGTGATTGTGCTTATAACAGCAACAGCTGAGGTAGCTCCTATTGCCAACTTTCTATATTATTATTTATTTCTCATTTTGTGTCTTATTGTAAATTGTATTATTTGTGTTATGTTGATAATAAATCAATTATCTACCTATCTAAAAAAACAGCTATGTACTCATGTTATGATGTTCCTGTGATTAACATTCAGTTTGTCTGTGTGAGATCGGTATAAGCGATAAGGCTGCCTTTTGTTAAGCACATTTATGCAAAGTGTTCCTTTTGTACTTATTTCAGTGCGCAATAGTGTTATTATTATTCACTATTAATATTTCGAATAACTGTTATATTATCCCTCTTATTCTCTAATTTTACTACTCTCACTCCTCAATCGAAATACAGCGTGCAAAGCAAGTTGTATAAAGGCTGAAATGGGTAGACAGAGGTGGGTATCTTTGTGTACCCATGCATCATGCCTGAGTATACAGAGATTGCTTTGGTGGAACCCTCGTAGTTATCTCTCCGTCATGAGGATACAATGAAGAAGAATTGTTATTTTGTTGCTAAAAATCGAGATATTTGTCAATTCCACTGTATTTATAGTGTGTACTAGCGACGGTCTACTTGGAATTTAACTTTATTTTTCTAAAATAAAAGTAGCCTAAGTTACTCCTTATTACATCATCTACCTGTCAAAAAAAGCCCCGTAAAATCGGTCCAACCATTTCAGAGATTAGCCGGAACAAACAGACAGACTGTAGTACTGCGACCTATATAGATCTATTGTGCTCGCCCTTTTCTGTGCAAGTAACAAAAGTTTAGAAGAATACTGAACAAGAGTTAAGAACATATTAAACCAGCGGTTGTAAAAGTCAGCAGCGTTGTCAGCAATAATTAATTTTATAAATAAGATTAATTATTTAAATAAAATTAATTATGGCTGTCTTATAGTACTCAGCTATATATAGATATACACATATTATCAACATTATAAACATAGCGCGGCCCGCCTCTACCTCATTCGTCCACTATATTGCCCTTGCTGCCGTTAGCGCGGGCGTCTGCAACATTCCATTATTATCCATTAAAAAAATACTGAAGTTCAAATAGCAAACAAGTTCACTATCCACCGGATGGTAAGTGGCAACTGTTACCTATATATTATCTCAGGACAATTCACATAGCGCCATCTTATCGCAAGCTAAGCAGAGCTTGTGTTATGAGTACTAGCCAGCTGGTATAAATACATTTTTTTATATTATATCTACATATAAAATACCCAGACCGATACAAACAATCATACTCATCAATACAAACGTTTGTACAGTGAGACGAATCGAACCTGCGACCTTCGCTTACACCGCTAGACCACCGGGATCGTAATAAATATACAAGAACAGAAGTTATTTTCGTTGTCCCCTAATATGTTTCACCCGAAACAACTTATTTATAAAGCAAGCTGCAGGCCACTGTACAAAAAAAACTATCTCGCTAAAGAATCTCAGTAAATATCTCTAAGCGCTAAATAAACAGTCATGAAACTTGGTTTATGCATAAGTAGAATTCAAAACATCAAAGTATACAATGCATTCTTAAATAATATGATCTAAGTTTTTCACACATGAGGGATCGATCGAAGGGGACGCCCTTTGATCGATCCCCCGTCCAATACAAACGGGGATCGATATTACGTCGGCCTGAGCCGAGATTCGAACCCCTAACGGTGCCTTCAGACTAAAGTCGTATCCGTCAGGTGGGAGTTGGTATTCATCCGCTCCATAAGCACATTTGGAGTGCCATCTGCACTCGTCCCCTATCGTTCAATGAAGCTGTAAAGGCCAGCTGCGGCCAACAGCATTAGAGTAGTCCGAAAAAAAAAACATGGGCCGTTGTACATGTAGATATTACTCCAGCCTCACAAGCTTAGTAATACGCAGTAAAAAATTTATAATCTTATAAAATAGATACATACTTCTTCATATGTTAAATCGCCATTATCACTATTTAAATGCATTTTGAAAAAATTGGTATTAACGTTAGCAATTTGTTTTTTATTCAACACTCGTTGTAACATTATTATGCGAACTAGTAGGTAAACAACACCGTAACGTCTTTGTACCTATAGGGAAAATGGTAATAAATTATTTCTGAATAATCTTATATAGACCAGTCCACAATAGCAAACCGGCATCTGTTCAAATAAATACACAAAAGTGTAATGACAAGTAAGCGCATAGCGAAAATACAAACGCTTTCTAATCTTATCTAGTAATAATTGTAGGTATAAATAGAGTTATTATTTTTGTTTTATTTTATCATAATATGATAATAATAGTGTGATTAAATCCTTAAATTGTTTTTGTAAAGAATAACTAATTTTTCGTAGATTATATAACTGATAGGCATTGTATTTAGGATTACAAATTTAAATATATATAAGTATATAGATTATAAATATCAAACTAAATTTTGTTGTCACAGTACCTATAGTATACATATATATATATTACTGGGTGACCCGCGCTACTTCGTCTGTGTTACAATTTCCTTGCAATTGCAACATTTTTCATTGCAGCTCAGCTCATATTGATCATGGCAAGATGTTCCACAGCCATGTTCCTTGATAAATGAACTATCTAAACAATAATAGAATTTTCAAAATTGGAATACTAATACAAGAGATTATTACTAATCCAACTGGACATTCAATTTTAAAAACTTTACCTCTTTATAACATTAGTATAGAAGTATAGAATAATATCTTGTTACGGTTTGTGTTATAAAAAAACTAGTTATTAACTGCACCTTCCTGCCTGTGACTGTAACATTATTTATTATTATTATTACAAAAGTCCATTATATTTATCAACCTAATGGTCCAGCAGGATTATATTGCGAGTTGCGGGTTTTATATCAATAATTGTATTGTTGTTTTGATCTGGATGTTTTCTATACAATGTATGAATGTGTGAAAAAAAATTACTAAGTCTAAGTGCTTTTTTCTAATTATTCTAATGCTGTTGGCCATAGTTGGATTTTACAGCTTCACTTAGAGGGTGAGTGCAGATGGTACTCCAAATGCACAAATGGACTTATAGAGCAGCTGTGGGCCAACTCTTACTTGACGAATACAACTTTAGTTTAAGAGCACAGTAGGCTGTCATAATTTAGATCCTTGTTTGAATTGGATGGGGGATTAATTGGAGCGGAGAAGTAATGTTTAGTAGTAAGATGTGCTATTTTGGTTATTGGAACTAGATAGCGCTGTGTAATTAAATTAGATGTAGAGTAAGAAATTAGCAATTAGGTGTAAAAAAAATTCTCTGCAATTATTGCTAAACTATAAATAAATTGGAGGAGGCATTGACCTATGGGACAAACAAATTTAGGAAGACTATTTTTTTAACCTCAGCAATATCATATGGAAGTGATGTAGTTGAAAAATGAGGACCAAATAAAAAAAAATATCCTTTGTGAAAATTTGGTGACATACATAGGATTTGTATATAGAACAAACTTTCAATTGTGAAATTATGGTCTTATTTACTTGCCAGTATTTTAACTGATATTATTTGCCTATAATTAATTTGTTCATTTAAGCAAGTATATAACTTACTTTGTTGTAACTCTGAGTTTTTTAAATCATAGGCTTGAATATATAAGGTACATTAATACAAATATATAAAATAAATAAAAAATAAAATATCAATAAGATGTATGAGTTATTCAATTAATACAAAAGATTGAATAAAAATAACTATCAAACACTAACTTAAGAATACAAAGAGAGCAGATTAGAGTAATTAAAAAAATATTTAATGTAGTGATCCCCTCCTTTTAACTGCATTCAGTAGGCAATTGCGGTGCATCCTACTCATAAATACCCAGTTACGAACGTGGCCAAATCTGAGATGATTTATTACAAAGGACATTGAGTAATGATTTTTACAAAAATAATATAATAATTATAAAATAATAGTATCTTAAGCGGCAAGGTTTAAAATACGTTTAATAAAAGCGAACTGCTAATTGTGGCACAAGCATGAACTAAATCATATCTGTTGTAAAATATGATTCTGATAATAAATTAAATTTAAAAAAATACGATCGTAAACTTAACATTACTTACAATGGGTTAAACATTTTAAAATACTTACTTCGTCTTGAATTTTATTGCCGGTTCTTGTATGTATTTGCGACATGTTTATTTTATTGTAATATATAAAGTAAAGCAAAATATATTATTAATTTAAAATTATATTGATTTTTCAAAACATAGATAGGAAATGTACATTCCGAAAATGTTCAAAAGTACTCTATGTTTAACCATAAACTGTCAAGTTATTAAGCTAAATGTCAATCGTTGGATCAAATCAAATTTACGGTATCCGTCTACCTACAATATTTGCATAAATACACCATACCATTTTGTATATTACTTTACTTTTTGATTTGTACCTTCTCGTCAAGAAGTGCTACTTCTCACAAGAGACACAGTGATAACTTGCTCAGTGTCTACAACCTTGACATTGACAGTCGACAGTTAATGCCACTGATAACATTATTTTCATTATTATACTAGTATTTGTTTGCATTGATCTATTATTATCATCAACGTTGAAATCATTTTTCAAAATCTTTTAAATTTCTTTATGGTTTCAGTTCAATACAATAACAATAATAGTATTAGTAATTTAGTTATAGAAATTAGAGATTGGTGTTCTGTGAATTAGAGTCACACAACAATGGATGTAGGGAAACAAATTGATAACTTCTTCAGTTTTTGACTATGTCTGCTAGAAATTACGTATCGTCTAGAGATAAAAATTTATGTAAAATAATAGATTGTTTACCGAATATCAATCAACAGAAGTTCGGTTATCGCCTAGGGCACGAGTTACCTGCTCTGTCGGGGAACACTAGCACTTTGTATAATAGAAATTTAAATTACTCTTTTGAATCTTACGATTGTGTTGAAAGGGCAGGAACACCCTTTTCCGACTTTTTCTCTGAGAGCGAAACAGGTAAGTTACTAATTTTTCAATAATATTAATTGGTTCACCCACCTGCTTTAAAGATAGGCTGTTCAATATGCTGGCAGCCCTACCAGTGGTATATTAGTTTACTTAGATTATGTCGCAAATTCACCACTGTTCTTTTAGCATATATCATTAGACGATTAGTGCAGAATATTTCACCTTTTATTTATTAATTCTATTGCACCAAAAATGTATTACAATGAACATTATTTACAAAGATGGTGTAAAACTTCCACATTACCAATACATACTTTCTTATCCCAAATATTTCCACACAAAATTTTACAAAGTGGTGCTTAATTGTTTTTCAGGTTCATACATATAAATATTATAATATAACTATTCAAAAGTGCTTAAATTAAGTTTATTTGAATAAATGATTTTCTATTCTATTCTACATAAATATATTTATTTCATTAATTTGGGGGGGAGGAGATTGTTAGTAATGTGAATTAATAACCCCATTACTAGCAATGTACCATGTAATGGTTGGCCTCCATGCAGTACCCCTTGGAAACCATAGTGATAAATTCCTGCTAAATTTGTCACCAAGCTAAATGACCTGCCATTATGCTCATCCTATCATTCTCAACTGGTGCTCCACCAGTGTAAACCGTTAGTGCAGGCAATGGCTCCATTCTATTATCATCCAGAAAAAATCCAGTTATTCCTAAAAAATAAACTGTTAAAATAAATTTAAATATCAAGTTACCATTGTGAAAAATTCACAGCTGCCTTGAATATAACAAAAAAAAACATTAAATATTGCTAATGCAAACTAATTTAAATGTTGAGTATTGTAACTGATTTTCTTAAGTAAAATATTGTCTCAGGTACTCCTGATTTGCATAGTGAAGAGAGTGACAGTAGTTCAGGATCTGCGTTTCGTAGGAACACGGCAGAAGCCACTAAGACATTAGCATCAGAGTGGGAACGGATTGAAAGAACACTTTACAATGAAGATGGTGAAAAGTCAACAAGACCACAGGTCATTGAGGAATGCAAGCAATGGAGACAGTTACATCCACAGCTCAGGTAATTGTGGTACTTTCTAATAGTAATATTACTCGACCATCCAATTAAGCCACAGGACACAATTTAATTAGTTTTTTGGAAATGCTCCAACTGAATGGTGTTGTTAGCACAGGCTGAAACTGATAATGTGATCGCAGATTTAAGTCTTACCATAAATTTATTGTCAGTAATAAAGTTGATATCTGAAAATAAAAAATCACAATATTTGCTTGCTTACAAATTTTAAGAACTAATAATGTTTTTTCATAATCAATAACTGAAATGTAAACCTACTGTGATGTACATTACACAGTGCAGTGCAGTGCATACTAAAATTTGATAGCCTTAATGGTGAAAGAAAAATGAATAAAGCCTGACAAATGAGCCAGATATGAAGTAAGAATTTCTGGCTGTGAGTAGAAAGTGACTGGTTTTGTCCCCATAGAGATTAAATTGAGTGCTAATGTAGTCAGGACAATTAGGAATGTATAGAATTAAATAGAGTGTATATAGCAAACATACATTTCGAGGATAGCTGTATTGTTAGATGATATAACACAAAGTTCGCGCCGCGGACTGGTCCCTTATATCTTTTAAATTATGCAACTGCTTTTAATGAAATTTAAATTCATTATGTTAATTACCTATTAACTGCAGTGATCTAGCGGTTTAATGCACCGCTATACTTCCGATGGTCACAGGTTCGATTCTTCACCAATGCAAACATTTATATTCATGAATACTGGTACGTGATGATGCGGCTCGAATGCTCAGATGGTCGGTGAGGTTGTCTTCAGCAGATTACAGGGTTGTAGAAATGATAGATTTCGCTTGATAGTCTCGAATTTAATGGCAAATATACTATTTATTACAAATTTGGTGGAGTGAACAAAATGTACGTTAGATCGATCGGTTGATTTTTTAAGTCTGTTGCATTACGGTGCGTATTTGAATTGGATGGGTGTGCGCTCCAATCAGAACGCTCCCTTTGTGTTGCGTTTTGTTGCTGCTTGTACGCGACATGCCCCCGGCCTTGGAAGCTCTTGAGTGGTTCCAATGTGAACTGCGGTTGAGTCTTCTCTTATTTCCATGTGTTTCCTTACCCGCTGCGATCAGAATGACAGAATGATGACGATTCTGGTCCACCTTTTGATAGGATTCGACAAATGCCCTGTATCAGTTCTCCTGTCCTGATAAACTAGCGCTGTAAGCGGACGACCAACCAGGGAGTGTGCAGGACTTAGGGTTGAAGGTTATTAGGATAGAATCAGTATTGAGGAAAATAGCAGAGGAATTAGGACTGCTATAATTTGAGTCAGTATTGTAGTAAACTTTGAATGTGCCTTACTTATAATTATATTATTATATTATACCTATATTACAACTAGACTCAAATGATTTGTGCATATTCCACCATCCAACAGCCCGCCAACATGAGGAGAACAGAGGGGGGATAAACTTAATTGAGTTATATGTCTTTGCTTTAGTTAGATATATATATATATTTTTTTAATTCGTTTGTGTTACATTTGATTTTATTAACTTGAATCATTATATTAGGCGGCTTACCATGACGCAAAACAGATTGCCTCAAAACGAAGATGTATGCTTCAGTGGATAGATCACTTGTACGTTCCAAATACACTGCGTGTGTCACGAAACATACAAATAAACAAATGATTGAGGGTTTAGAACCCAATTCCTTACAATTCAATATAAACTTCGGTCCCTCATAATTCACATCATAGGTTATAAATGGATAAGTAGCATTCAACTGTTCCCTAAGCCTAAGATTACCCATGAGAGGTTGCAAGGTTTTACCGTGTATACGCTTGCATAGAATACACTCATGTGGAATCTTTCTTGCAAGGTTCCTACTTGCAATAGGACACCACTGCTCCCGTATGTTATATCGAAACGCCTGTGGTGCTGCATAAGGTAAACGTTTGCGTTTGTGGTTCATTAATAGTAGCCTATTAATTTTAAAATTTCGTTCGTAGTGTATAAATTGACGTATACATATAAATGTATTCTTCATACGGTATAATTGAGAAAATGTAGGAAAGAAAAATAATTTGACCCTTTGTCCCGAAAATAAGCCGTGAAATGTACATTTAAATTTGAGTAGATATTTATGAATAAAATTGCAGTATAGAAATTTATGATTATCATGTTTTTGTGATCGCCTATTTAACGTTGAAAATCGGTTTAGGGTTTGAGGATATGATTCGCCTAATTCATGTGGTGATGACTTGAGAGGAATGCGAACGCAAAACCTTCCATCATTATTGCGCATCGTAGTTGTAATGAAAGGATTTTCGCACTCTCGCTGGTCATCAGTTTGCGTCTCACATGATTTAGTAACTTTCTCAAGCTCCCTAAATTGTTGTGATTGAGTATCGGTAACGTGTGTAAAATTACACTGGATTTGACCGGTATTCTGCGTGTTTACACCTACAGAACCCGATATAATCCAGCCTAGTCGTGTATTTTGCAAAAACGGACCGTTAGGTAATCGCATTCTACCACTACTTAATAAATCCCAGAATATATCAGCGCCTATTAAAATATCTATACTCTGGGATTCACAAAAGTACGGATCTGCTAACTGCACACTATCAGGGATACGAAACTGCGCGTATTGTTTCGGTATCGCTGGCAACGTAGATGTTATATGCGGCAATACAATACATCGAATGCACGCAGTGTATGAGCTAATACGGGATTTCAATTCAATATCACACATCTTTGTCGATTGTGTTATCGAATTACCAACCCCACGAATTTCTTGAGTGGACTGTATAATTGGTAAATCTAGTATATCGCATAAAGATTGCGTCATAATACATCGTTCACTACCTGAATCTAAAAGCGCGCGAACAGAGTGAATATTATTGTATTTGTCATAAATATCGACTAACGCTGTCGATAAAAGAACCGGCTGCGTACAGGAATACTGAGCGCATAATGTATTAGTGTGCGTAGATGAGCGTGAGCATTTGTTAATGTTAAGATCCGTACCAATGACGGCGGCTGCGGGGCGCCCCCCTGCCTCGGTGAATGAAGAGTGCATAGATAATGCAGCTGTGTTCCGTTCGCTTACCGGTGACAAGTTGCAAACTTCACCATCTTTATGAATCAATGAGTTATGTTTTTTGTTACACTTCCTACATCCACCGAACCTGCATTCATTCGGGCGATGCCCCGGTCGCAAGCAGTTGTCGCATAATTTATTTTCACTGACGAACTTTAGCCTAGAATCTAGATCAGTGCTTATAAATGTTTGACACGCATATAGTTGATGATAACCGTTGTTACAGAATAAACAAGATCTCTTCGTGTGGATTTGTGGCTTATTGGTAGAAACATTACAATGTACGTTGTGTTTTGTCGTGTTTGAAATTTGTTTGTTATTTGAATCGTGTTTATAATTGTTGTGCGACGCAAGTAATGTTTCTAACATGTCAGCCCGATCTTTTAGGAACGCTAATAACATATCTACCGTCAATCGTGATTCGGAGTTACCAAATAATTTTAAAACTGTGATTTTATGTTGTTCCCATTCGCGTTCGGATGTTTTGTCTAATTTAGATACAATTATGTACATAATAAGTGTATCCCAGCTATCGACTGGTTCACCTAACAGTTTTAATGCACGTAGATTTTTTAAAATAGTGTCGATTAAATATCGCAATTGATCTGGCGACTCCTTAGTCACGGTTTGAAGAGTAAATAATGCCTTTACGTGGTTATGTATTAATAATCTACTATTATTGAACCGATTTAAGAGTAGTTCCCATGCCACCGAATAATTATTAGCCGAAAATTCTAACGAATCGATAACCATAGCTGCAGTGCCTTTTAACGATGATTTTAAATAGTGAAACTTTTGAATGCTACTTATATTCGTGTTATTATGTACCAATGATAGGAAGATGTCCCTATATTGTAACCACTGATCGCTGAGCCCTGTGAAGGTAGGTACCGAAATTACTGGAAGTTTCAAGGAATCGTTAGAATTGGGGCATGATTTAGAATATGACGCGTCATCTTCTCCACTAAGCATACACTCAGCTTGAGACAGTGTGTTGAAATAGCTGTCTTCAAACTGACCTCTTTGTTCGATCTGTTCGTCTAAATCTACTTCTAAAACTAGTTCTTCTAATTTAGACTGAAGGTTGTTAAACTCAGAGAACAGATTTGCAGCATTTTGAATTCGTAGCTTCAAATCTGCCTTTGTTTGACGAGAAAGAATTGTATTGACTTCAAAAGTATTGATAAAATTTTGAAATCTAGTAAACCGGCCTTTGATAATTGATCGTTTTTTGACTAAATCACGAATTAATTGATTCGTGTTATCATCGCCTGTAATTGTTATTTTACATGGCGACTTAGAAAGAGACTTTAATGTGGATGATTGTTCACTCATATTGGTAGACAGTGAAAGGTGGAGTACTCACGTATGAAACAGTAGAAGCAGTTGCTAGCTGACGGCAAGCTGCTCTGTTGTGCAATACCGGTAACTCACTGCGTCTCAGACACTGCAATAGATATTTACCACAATACAGAACACAAGTACAGGATAGGGGTAGGATAGGATATCTGGTGGTCGTACCGATTTGCGCTGTATTATCGGAGTTGATCTGCCAGGTATCTCGTCTGTCCAGGTCTCCCACTATGCGTTGCTGCTGCTCAAGGTTCAGTTTTGATAATGTAGACGTCTTGGTGTGGAGTAATCTGATGAAGTCCTCAATGGTTCGCTCGTTCTTGCTTGATCGTTCGGCTCGAAGGTCCAAATGGTACGTGATGATGCGGCTCGAATGCTCAGATGGTCGGTGAGGTTGTCTTCAGCAGATTACAGGGTTGTAGAAATGATAGATTTCGCTTGATAGTCTCGAATTTAATGGCAAATATACTATTTATTACAAATTTGGTGGAGTGAACAAAATGTACGTTAGATCGATCGGTTGATTTTTTAAGTCTGTTGCATTACGGTGCGTATTTGAATTGGATGGGTGTGCGCTCCAATCAGAACGCTCCCTTTGTGTTGCGTTTTGTTGCTGCTTGTACGCGACAAATACATAATAATAATAATAATAATATAATAATAATAATCTCAGGACAATTCACACAGCGCCATCTAGACCCAAGTTAAGCTAGCTAAAGCTTGTGTTATGAGTACTAGATAACTGATACAAATAATTATTTTTTGATAATTTTTTTTTTCGTAAATACATACATATTATACATAGAAAATACCCAGACCGATACAAACAATCATACTCATGAATACAAATGTTTGTGCCGTGCGAGGAATCGAACCCGCGACCATCGGACGTAAAGCGGTGTGCTAGACCGCTAGACCACAGAGGTCGTCTGGATATAATATTTGATACGAATAGAATATTTGTATTGGTCTGAGTATGTATATTATATGTATATAAAAATCTATGTTTGTCTATCAGATGTGTAGTATGTAATATAAGCACTGCTTAGCTTGGTTCTTGATGGAGCTGTACGAATTGCCTATATATTGAAAAAAAAAATTGTCTTAAAATTCATTTGAATGATGCTAAAGTAAAATGTTACTCATTACCATGATATACATGGTAGGTATTACTGTATATAATTTACTTATAAATACTAACAAAATTAATTGCAACATACAAATGGTGTACAAATTGTACAGACATACAGCTGTGTAATTCCATTACGACAGATGTTTCATTTCATAAGCAATAAAACAATAGACTTAATTCCTAACTACTCCTCCCTTTTATTGATTTTTATTGTATCGACAAAGGCACTATTTAAGACCCGACATATTAAGGTCATGTAGTCATGATCATTATCAGTATTTAGTGGTTATGCATATTTTATAAGAGTATATTGTATAATAGCCTTGGTAGTATAGTGGTTTAGTACCCGATCCGCTTTACTATCCGATGGTCGCGGGTCCGATTCCTCGCACAGTACAAACATTCTATTCATGACTGATTGTTTTAATCGGTCTGGGTATTTTCTATGTATAATATGTATTTATTTAGAAAAAAATGACATTCATTTATATCAGTTGTTTAGTACCCATAACACAAGGTCTGCTTATCTTGGCGCTGTGTGAATTGTCCTGAGATATTATTATTCTTTTATATATTTGTACGGAAGTAATACGTTCAAACACGCGGGCCTTAGCCAAGCGTGGATGAGTTATATGATGTTATTACTATTCTCACTGTCGTCTCACTCTCAACTTAACTTTTGCTGGTTTCTTCCACATTTACTTATTATTATTATTGATTTTCCAGAATTGTTGGCAAAGCAATACCATTACCGGAGAAAAGGTTATGCTATAGGCAAATGGAGCATGAAGAAGTTATTGCTATACACTACAGTGACTATGAGGAGTTCAGTGAAAGTGAGGAGCGTCTCTCTCAAAGTAGCACTGATGTTACCCCACAAAATTCACCCAGACCCTCCATTGCTGAAGACCTATTTGAACCGAAACTCTCCCGTGAAAAGGTATCTTTCTTTCCAACATACTACAATGATGAGTATGAATTACCCGATTCATTTTGTTCACTGTTGCAAATAACACCAATACAAATTAGGAGTCCTTTGCACAGGAAGAAGCAGAATTCTTCAATACTGAGATCAGAAATAGCATCATCTCGATGGATGAGGAATACAAGACCAGAATCTTCTTTGAACTGTGGTAGAAATAGTGCTAAGTCATTTGTTTCACTTGACACAAGAAATTATAATGGAAATGCAGCACTTAGTGCATCAGAAGGTAACAAGTTGTATAACAGAGTAGTTACGGCTAGGCACAGAGATTTAACAAGGTTGGAGCCATTATGTTCTCCTGATTTGCAGCAGAATGATATAGCTAAATTATCTAATGGTCTGCCCCAGCAGTACAGTATTAGGAAAGTTTCACTGCCGCCTCTACTTCTCGAGGAGGGGAAGAAGAAAGTGTTGGTACATTCAGCTAAAAAGCAGAATGTAAATGCAAGAAAAAGTGTGTCAAAGTTTTGTCATCTGGACAGAGTTAAACATAATTAATAATTTGACATATAGATGTTTGTCACATTTCGTGTTTGTGAGTACACATTCCGTTTAATGATTGAATATGAAAAGTATCATTGGTTCTGGTTGGTTCAACTCGGATGCTATTCATAAATTGAATACTTATATCATTTGAATTGTTCTTGTAGGTACGATTTTTCGTATATAATTCTAGTCTCTTTATCTAGTCTTTTGTAAAGTGGAAAGAGAAAGAATATTTAAGTTGTGAGAGATTCACTATTTTGTTATTTATAACATCAATAATTTTAGATTTAAAACTATACTGCAAATGGAATAAAAGAAATATATTTTACCAATGAAACAGAACGTTTTTTTTACGTTAACTTCGTAGGAGTGGATCATTATTTCATAAGGACGACAGGGTTGCTATAAAAACAATTGTTCAAATACAAATACAGAATTTATTTTGATATTTACATTATTTGCATTTTATTAACAATCAACATCAACAATATTAAATAATTTGTCTCGTGGTGTGATATATTTTGAACAGTCTAGTAATATTACATTTTCCGTCTTGCGCGGCCATTTTGTTGTCACCTGCTCAAGATACAATGACAATGTAATATTACTTTGGATACTTATAAATGGTGTGTTTATCTGTCAATGGCAACTAGAAGCAGTGAAATATGGGGTTGAGAAATTTGAGCAACTGCGGAGAAAGCTGTGAGCTTGATTTTCAGGTTGCCATATGTAAAAAAAAATATATTCCCTGGTAGATTATATTATTAATACGTATTTACTATTTTTAGAAAACTGTTTAAAAGTAGGTACTTATTTGATAGAAGCTATGGAAATTCATTGGAAACTGAAATTCAATAATTATTTTCTTCATATGGCAACCCTTATGTTATTTTACGCGCTAAAAATGATCATAATTTTATTTGCACCTTTTCCTTGGCTCGTTTAGTAAAACAGAATTCTTACAAACTTATAGGCGGAGAAGTTCGTTATAACGCTTAGAATAAATAGTACATATGCGACTAGATTTTTTTTGGATATTCTTCTTTTAAAGTCTTGAAGATTCCGCATTATATTATGGTAGATATTAGATAGAGAAGCAATTTGAATTTCTTTTTCTCTTTAATATCTTTTTTCTTCAATTTCTTATACCACCGCAAGCGCCGATATAGATGCCTTATCATCTACGGAACCATAAAAGTGTTAAACAACTTATCGTACATCGCATTTGTAAAAAAACGCCAAAGAAAAGTTGCAAATGTATACAGCGTCAGATCAGTTGTTGCGACAGAGCATTTTGTTATGTTACTATTTTTATATCTTTACATAATATAAATTTAAATTGTTACAATTATTTACCTCACAGCCATCATTATATATTGATACTACTTTAATAAAGAGAGGACTAGTGTGTAACAACACGATAAGATGGCAATTAGCTTACAAAAAAGGGTCTAGCGAACATTCGTAGTTTAGAGCGTTTAAGAGGCCCTCCCGCATAAGAATTGCGTCTAGGTGAGACGTCAGATATCCCATAATATTTTCATTATTATTATGTAATAATAATAATAATAATAATGAAAATTTTCATGACATTGCATAACAAGAATATGTCTGAAACCTTTTCTAGGATGATGTATATATGACATCCTGTTGAGTACAGCAGGATGTCTAGGTTTAGCAAATTTGAAGAGATACGTACACAATGCTTTGCACTACTGCATAATGCTTATTTGTACAGCATAGTGTAGTGTCTGCGCTGGCGGAGTCATAGAGAAACGAAGCAACTTCTTTTAGTCTCAAGAAGTTTCAAAACACCAGATTAAGTAAACTCAACGGTGTAAGAAAAGACAAATTCAAGCTATGTAAAAATAATTCAAGTCTGTTAGTCTAGCCTAGTAGGCATAGAGGATATACCTACTACGGAGAGGAGAGACCATAGGATTGTCATGATGTAGCAGAAAATATAGGTGTGCTTCAATACTAATTGTTATTAAATACAACTTCAATACAGCTAGAATTGAAGTTGTATTTAGTTTTATTTTCTGGTTATGTAAAAGAAATTTGACATTTGTCTTATTTATTGCAAGAGACTAGTATGAAAGTAAAACCGTGACACAGTTTGGATTAAAAAAATCTCGACCATACATGGCATAGGCAGTAAGTACAAAATAGTTGTCCTCTAAGAACGTTCTATTATTTAAAATACATATATATGCTTTAACAGGATATCATGACGTCATCGCTATCGAAAGGACCTCTTAATACTTACATATATACGTATATAATATTACATGAAAAATTCACCTCATCGTTCTAAAAATTTAACAACTTCAAGCTATTAGCAATAGTCAACAATGTTGTTAATACTAGGACTTTAATCCAGAACATGGAATACTAGTTTTGCTTACAGGCATATAGTGTTATACGAACAGACATATACGTGTACACCGAAATTAGCTTGTGAGAGATACGTCACCGAATTGGAGACCCAGGAATTGATAAGACGAGCACTGGAAATTATATATTAATTATAATTAAGAGTAAGTGCTGTTCGTAGTCGCGACCTAGTCCAATTATACTCGTATGTTTCAATATATTGTACAATATACATATATTTTAAACATACTCATATATTTTGACCGCTAGCGCTTTATGAGGTCTTAAGTTTACACAGGACAGATTTAGTTACATGATCTCAAGTTTACACAGGACCACAGACTATACTATCGTCCAACATGATTCCAATCTATCACAACTAGGGAGGGTAAAGCGGTCATTTTCAGTAAAGCAAGTACCCTGCAAACCATCATAGTAAACTCCTAGTGAGACACAATGGCTGTCTGACTTTACTTTATTGTTGTTGTTAACCTGACATCCTCCACTAGTGCCCCGCTAGTGTATACCATTAGCACAGAGAGATATACATACATACTAAACCATTATTATCTATTAAAAAAAAACTGTGCCAACTGACGATCTATCAAAACAGGCTCCAAATTTAAATCTCATAGACTATAGAGGACGTTGATGTCTGGCTCATCTGAGTGAAGTTTTCAGCCTAAATTATCATCACCGTCAAACATTTACGAACTGGCGTTTATATGTTCGTCCATCCTTCCATGTACAGACATGGAAGGATGGACGAACAATTGGACTGTTGGACAATAGTGTAGTGTCGATTAGAAACGAGCAATGAACACCGTTTCAAGTCCGATTATGTGTGCCTTGCAACTTGGTGTAAAGATAGTGTTTTAAACTTTTTTCACGGTTTTTTACAATCGTACATTATACACGACATCTTTATCGTGACTGTCTTTTCATGAGCACGTCATTTCAATGCTGGTCGCCGATTGACTCAGAATCGGGAGCTCATGAAAAATAATCGCGATATTGTGATGATTTTTTAGAATTTAGTAGGCGTATTGCTGTTGTCCGTTCAATCCGTATTAATATTTCGTTTCTTTATAAATATATTAAATGCGAGCGTGTAATGTCAGGTAATGAATACGAGTGTACGTAGAGTAACGACGGACGCCTACGCGAGTTACGGCACGTTTATTCGTTAAGAGAGCTAAAACGGTATCACCTAGCAACAAGATAAGTCGTGTGACATGCATACAGTAGGTACATACACGTTGCACTAAACAATAATAACATTATACCTCAAGCAAACACACTCAGAAGGACTCGGCTATATTCTCTCTCTTTAAGGCGATTATACAAATTTAAAACTATTTTAAATTGCACACTGACCCACCTCTATAAACTTTTAATTGCGATAAATATTTTGTAATGCTGTATAAAAATATTAAAGGAAAAATCGTCATTTTAATATTAATCTTATATAACATTCATATTTAGTCCAAATTAATAGCGTGTATTTTACATTTTTACAATGAGACGTCCGACCTCTATACCTAACTAGCGTACAGTGACGTAGAAGCCTAATTCACAACAAACTACACACGATAGTATTGAATATAATTTTTTTAATGTAGGTATAGCCGCAGCCTTCTATTTTTAATGCAAAGGAGACGACTTTGAAAAATTCCTATGTAACATACAAAATTACATTTGACTATGTACAACATTCTAGCTAAAATTTTAAAAAATTGAGTTGGATGTAGCACTAGGCGGTACTCTAAATATTAGGTACCTAGTTTGGCGGCTAGGGCTCCGGTGGCATGCATGCAGTGGTACACTACTCACCAAAATACCAAGCTCCGAATATAACTAAACGATTATCATATACGGGTTCTGAGGTGGTCAGTTCCCTATTACTTGCCCTAAGCTTGGCAGACATTTGACGAAGCCAAGTCCAAATGCTCGGCCAAATAAGCCAAGTAAAATTTTTAATTAATTTTAAATAGATTTTTTAATATTTTTTTTTGGACAGACCGATTACTTTCGATTTATAATTACATAAATAATCTATCGTGCACAACCTCGAAACTTTACTATTCGATACATTCGGTGTAGTGTTTTCTATGTATATGTATAGTATTTTATTAGAATTTCGATTAAATATTTATTGTGCTCCATACATAACTGCATTTGATATAGGTATATAACATATACACATAAAGGGTACATGTTCATATTAATAAAACAAGGGTTGTAGATATAGAACCTGATTACTGAGCGACAATTATTTTCATATATCTTATATAATATTTATATCTGTTGACATGCTCAGTTTGTTCAGCCATTTTTCTTAACAATTGCAGTTAAGTGTAGAGCCCACATTTTACAGTTAAGTGCAATTCGATATTCGATTAAATATTTATTCGCCACAAGATGTGCCCAAAGTATTCTCGGGCCATACACAATTTTGTACTTTATTTTGCATGTGGGCGTGAGTTACGGTGTAGTCGTGTTACAAAAATATTATGGCAGTATGTTTGCATTCAATTCCTTTACAAACTAGGGTTCTGTAATATTTCTGTTTTGGACCGATATGCAATTTTAGACCATATATTCATAATTTTGACTTTGAAGACATCCACATTAACCTAGTAGCAATTAAGGCCGGTTTTGCCTATTCTATTTGAACGATGAAAATGACACTATATGATGTGATAAAGGATAATCTATATACAGGATGTTTGATAAATTATTTATACATTAACTCTCCTACATATTATCAGTAATATTGAGGTATTCTTTTAATTATCATATATATATATATTAGTTTATTTTGGTGCTCTTATGCGTGCGAATGTTACTTAGAACTGCAGGATGGTTGTACTGTATCTATCAATGTACTAATGTCGTTTTCATCAAACATCTTGTAGTATGTATTTAGTAATTATTGAATTACTATGTTCTTGCTCTGCATAATGACAGTTCTAAATGTGAGGCGAATGTTACTAATATCTAGTAAATTCTAAAAAGTACCTCTAACCAACTGCACGCAATGCATATCGATGGTGAATCATGCTTAATTACCACATGCAGTCGATTAAAAGTCATCTTATCTAATACAATTAACATAGTAAACTATGAAGAATACACAATCGTCAAAGCACCCGGAGTTAACACTAAATACATTGCAGGCTTCACAAGCCCTATACTCATAATAACAACGACGTTTCGAAAATAATATCACACATTTACAGCAAAATTACACTTTGCACAGAGCGTGCCACGCAATAATACTTCCACAGAGGTTACATTCACGCAATGGCATTTTTAGTATTTCTTTTTCGTATAATTGGTTTCAGTTCATAAGATCTTTTTATGTGCAGCGCCATAATTCACGTCCACTTTGACAATCCCCACCCAACGCTAGGGAAATGTTGAAAAAATAATTAAAATAAAAATAACAAAAAGCTTAATAGTTTTATTAAAAAAATAAACAAAATATGACACTAAATGTGAATAGTTAAAATAAAGTCTAAATTATAAAATAAAAGTCTAAAGTATATTTCCGTGGAGATCTCGCAAAAGTAAAAACGGCCATAGATCTTAACGAAAATAAACAACTATACTAATTATAATAAAAGTATACATATGTGTAGAGATGAGTCTATGATCAATGGAAACAATGGCATACGCAGGCTGCTACCATAAGTGTTAAATAATAAAAAAAAAATGCAAGTCTTTATAACTAGAGAAGATGAACTCACTGCGAATTCAAAACATAAAACAAAACTTACTTAACTATAATCAATGTGGGTCAATCACAACATAAACTCATATACCGACGTGTGAAGTGCTTAACAATCAATCAGTCGATATATATTTTAAATGCTTAAAATATTTTAGCTTCGTAGATATAGCGCCTTATATATGTGATGCGAGAAAATCTACTGAATAAGGAATGGATATTCTAAAAAAAAGAGAAAAGCTATATACATCAATATAAATGTAGTAATATAATAATTGTCCCACTAACAAATCTAAATATGTCATGCAATTAAAAGTTTAAAAGGTTCCATTAAATATTGAGCATTTGATCTCCTTTAAATTAAAAATATTTATCAACGCCATTTAACTCAAGTTGTAATGACATATTATTACCTACCTCCTCGTAACTGAAATTGTGAAATGTGCAGTGTGCTTTATTTACAGAGCGATTCAATCCAAACTTGTGTCGTCCTACAACACACTTCACTAGTTCATCAACATGACATCGTTCATCTTAAAATGCCACCACTAAAACTTTAAAACATCGAAAGCTTGTCTAACACAGATAATATCGACCGATACAAATCTTAGATTGGATCACTCTGTATATTATTTCGGGAACATATTTAATGTGAGACCGGAATGGTGTGTTTAACATTAAATAAAACAAAATTGAGTCGATCACGTGTCCTCTAAGTGCATCGGTTTGTGATTTGCGGTGCAGTGTCCATCGTGTTAAAACAGTGGAAAAGGAAACGAAAGAAAACGATCTGGGAAGGGTCCGCCGAGTCGGTTAGGGTTGGATTGTCGGAGTGTTCGGTGTGCGCGGACGCAACTAGCCCGGAGTGTCCGGAACGTCCGGAGTGTCCAGAACATCCGGAGTTTCCAGAACATCCGAAGTGCCCGGAGTTTCCGGTGCGTCCGAAGTGGCCGGAACGTCCGGTGTGTCCAGAGTGTCCGGGTCACCCGGAGTGCCCCCGGATCTCTAATTGCGGCCGCGGAAACGGCCCCCCGCCTAGATGTAGGAGTAGGGTCCGTCAGTGAGGGCGCTGCACAGCAATAGTCAGGAGGCGTCGTCCTTGCCGCCGCTGCCGGTCGCCGAGCCCGCTCGTCTGTTTGACCGGTACTCCACGCCTGGGTCGAACTGCATTAGGACGAACACCTGCACGCAATATTTAACCTTGTTATATGTATGATAAAGTATTATTTTGAATAACAGTTTCTACGCGAGATTCCATATACTGTGCCTATAGAAAATTTGTAATGGAATGTTCGGGTTTGAAAATTGATAAATTGTAATGAGATGTGACGATGACGATGTTCAATACATGATTGGCCTCGGTGGTCTAGTTTAACTATTAATTTATTTAATACCTAATATTTTTAATTATATTATGTATTAAATAAATACATAAAAAAGAGAGTATCTAAGTAAAAAGCGCTATAATTTTGTATATGTTCACTGTAAATCAAGGAAGACTCATATGGCAGGTACATATACTTATAATCAATTACCTGATCAGTAGGCAGTAAACTGAAGTCATCAGGCGGGTTCGTGATCACATATCGCTTGCTGCTCGCATCACACGAGGACGACGTGTCTCTAAACCGGTACAGGCCTATACAAAGCATCCCGTACGAGCGCAGGGCCGCCACGAACAAGTCCCCGTACTTTCCGGCCTCGCCGAATTGGGCCAGAGGACCGTCGTATAGCGATATCTGGCCCACTCTACACCGGTCTCTGGAAAGATACCATGTTTTTTTAATACCTAAAGTAAATAGAGAGGTTTTTAAAGTTTTTTTTATACTATGATGGCGGCAACATGGTTCATCAATGTAGAGGCTATGATTGGATGAAACGAGCCCTGGCTTTGTATAAATGTTTATTCTTGTGATATTTAAAATGGTTGAATGATAATCAATAATATGAGTATAACAGAAAATTAGATATCTCAGATAAGAAGGGATTCAGTCTGCTGAGGCAGCTTGTTGATAGTCATTGTATAAAACGTCGCTAGGCAAACGTGTTGCCACGCGCTGTTTGAAGATTCACCACACCAGTATACGGCCCATCACATGGGAAACAGTTACCGTAGTCTATATAGACAAAAATGTTACCTGTTAGATAAACTCTCTGGCGTGGAGTATCCGCCTCGGAGGCCAGCTCCCTCGGCCAGGATGAGCTCCAGCTCAGGAGTAGCGCCGCCCGTGATCAGCGAACGGATTAGCGTTAAGGCATTCTGGTTGAAGTATGTCTGAAGCAAGATCAAACTTAACATTTGATAAATTGACAAAGGTTGAAGGTCTTCTCACTATATTCATCTTAGTCTTCTCTAATGGCAACGCTCGAAAGGTATATGTTAGTTACGCTGTTCATATATGTAGGCGACAGTTACCACTTACCATCTGCAGGTATACTCTGAAGTCTATATAGATAACAATCCAATTCATTTTCTTACTACTATTAGTTATAACATAAAGACATTAGAATTTATAATTGAGATAAAATATAGCATATGTTGGTCGTCAGAATTTCATTAAGAGTCAATCATCTTTGAAAAAGGAAACGAGGACAAGACAAAGAAAGACACTAGAATATATAATATGAGTATGGTCAAGAGGTATAGTTGTTGTGACTCACGGTAGACATGAGCGAGTCGAGCACGCTGACCGCGAAGGCAGTGCCGCAGGCGAACGGCTGCGTGAGGTACAGCTCCGTGTCCGGGTCGTCGTCGTCGTCCTGGTCCAGGAACTGTACGTTGCTGTCGTTCACCAGCTCTGTGCGGACACACCATGCAAGCGGTTTTAGAGGAGCTTCCTCCCACGTACACTTAGTTGTGGAATGAACTACCTGCCACGGTTTTCTCACGAGACTACATCATGGGGTTTTTCAAGAAGGGTATATAAAGGTTACTTAAGGGTCGGCAATACGCACGTAACACTCCTGGTATCTCAGGTGTCCATTTACCATCAGATAGTTGTATGCTTGCTTACCATCGTAAAAAAATTACGGCGGCTGAATAACAGTACATACGTTTGATTCCATATACTGCCACTATGCAACCCTTTGGTAAAGTTATAGTGTTACGTATTGTATTGTAGGTACACCCTCTGCTACGTTGAATTCAGATATATACAGCGAAATCTGAGCAAGTCAATGTGTCAAGTGCTGTATTCACCACGACATTGACATTTGACAATCCTCTGTCTATTTGGGATAACAGTCGTGACGGTATGTTATGCTTACCAGTAATCATAGGCACATTGGCACCGTAAACGGATCCTCTCCGCTGCAGCAGTACAGGCGCTGGCGCTGTCCCGCTGGGCGGCTGCGCAGTGCTACTCCCGTTGGTACCGACACCCGCACTCAACACGCCGATGGTGTCATCGAACGTCATAGCTTTGATGTTCAACGAAGCCAAGATAGCTTCCTTGTCAGCCAGCGTCGGGTCATCGTTCGATGGCACCTTCGCTGACAGGATGCAGCACATGTCGCAGAGGTTTACATTAACTGCACGCAAGTCGGCCCGGCTTAGCGGTGAACCCTAGGCAAACAAACATATATTTATATTCATAGGCTTAAAAATTATATAAAAAATTGTTATATTATTTTGGTTAATTCCGCATCAATTAGATTGAGATCACAAATATTCAGTGCGGAAACTTGACTATCGTTACGATCTTCTCTAATGTTGATCAAATTCCGACCATTGTAAGTTGCGTTTCGGTTGCAGGATCCGATTATGCGGTGAATAACAGGATAAAAGACATTATGTCTTTTATCCTGTTATTCAGAGAACCAAGTAATTATTACTTGGTTCTCTGGGATGGGAATGGGAACGCTTGAACACCGAATGGTATTATGGGTGTCACATGATAACGTGATTTCAGTAGTATCACGTTAATCATGTAACACCCGTAATACCACTCATATTGTTATTATTCAAGTATATGGGCGACGATTGTGCCGTGACCACAGGGACAATTTATATTTGTAATGTTATTACTTATGTATATTAGACTATAACTAATATGGCCCTTAGTAGCGTAAAATAAATATAAAAAAAATGTTCTAGACTCACATTCAATACAGATATCTTCGGTAAGTTTTGAAGCATCTTCCATTCTCTTCGTATATATTCGACGCTGCCGACGATCACCACGTGCTTGAGTTCGTGATAGTGGAAGTTCGAAGCTCTGAGAGGCATCACCAGGTTGCGGAGACCAATTAGTGGAGAATCAGGGTCGGCGAATAGGCACACTACCACGTGACCGTTCAGCACCGTCATGGCCGCTTGGTTTCTATCCTGTTATTATATAGAGAGTAATGGATTTTTTAATCAGTTCAATCGTAGTAAAACATACAATTAATCAACGTATCACGATAAGGTGGCATGTATACTAGTCGGATTGAAACCGCAACATTTTATGGTTAAGTACTTAGTATTGCATATATTAAATGTAATTTCGTGAATTTCTTCAAATCCCTTAACTTATAGTAGGTAATAGAATAAAAACAGCAAATGAAAACAATGAACTCGTTATCAAGAAAATAATAAAAAAACATTCTGGCATTTCTAACGCTACTGACAATGCGGCAGTGTAAACTGGTTCATTTCTGATTTAGTGACCGTCCGTATAACACTGCTAGAAATGCAAAAACGTCTTTATAGGTTTATTTTCCTATGACTGTGAGACGGCGGTAGGCTGTTTAATGCTGTAAAATTTAAATTATGCGTAGCATGTTTTAAATTCAACGTATGATTTAAATTTTACGTAACTTCTTACCGCCTTTAAAATTTTACACTCTCTGGGAAAACTATAGTTATTTCCCAAACGTACCAATATACAATCCTCCAGGTTTCTTGCGGGGCTCCAATGGAACATTCCAGTAGAGTCGTACTTCATTTCAGTCTTTTCAAAGTCGAAATCCTTCGACTGGTCGTCCGCCAGGCCGGCTGGCAAACTTACACCGTTACTGTTTTGATTACCACCGCTACTCCTGCTTGTAGGCCTATAGAACCCATAGAAATAATTGTATTAAAAAAATATTCCCATATGGCAATATTGGATGGTAGTATCAGTGTGCGTAGATATTGTAACATTTACGCAGTGAACTGTATTTATAAATATAATTTTATTTTAATAATTTAAGCAGTTTTATTTTTATATGTAGTCTTGATATTATGAATTTAACTATAAGAAAATAATCTATTCAAAATATTCTACCATAGTGATAAACTACAGTTACAAAATATTAGCAGCAATCTAGAATATAAGAATATATATTACGTTAATTTTGAATATGTGCATAGTACGAGGGTCAAACTGAAAGTTCTTAGAAAATCAAAAACTGATTAAATTAGCAAGTTATTACCTTTATTTTATCTTTTCAAAATAGTGTGCATTCACGTCAATACATCGCTGCATCCGATAGAACCACTGAGAAAAACACTTTGCCCACTCGTCCTTAGGGGTCTCTTTGACGGCCTTCTAAAACGTAGCCACCGAATCTTCGGCGCCCATAAAACGTTTTCCTCGAACTTTTTCTTTCATTTTTCGGAATAAATAAAAATCGCAAGGTACGAGGTCGGAGCTATAAGGCGAAAGACCCAGTGGTTCTACGTCTGAGGTCGCCAAATAATCGATCATTTGCCTGGCGGTGTGCGACGAAGCATTGTCGTGGTGAAGGAGGATCCTACTGCGAGGTCGTTTCTCACGCACTTTTTTTCAAAACACGTGGCAAACAATTGTTACTGTACCACTCTGCAGTAACTGTTTTTCGATCCTCTAAAACAATTGTCGCGTAATGACCTGTTCTTCCAAAGAACGAGGCCACCATCTGTTTTCCTATGCTTCGACCTCCCTTCACTTTAGTTGGCAACTCCTCAGAAGGAAACACCCACTGAGCTGACTGTCTTTTAGTTTCGGGATCATAACAGTAAATCCAGCTTTCGTCTCCCATAACTATGTTAAACACAGAATTTGAGTCACCTCCGTTAAATCTTTCATGCATTTCACGGCACCAATCAACCCGACGGAGTTTTTGAGCCTCAGTGAAATTATGAGGTATCCACCGGGCACAAGGCTTCCTGACCGCCAATCGTTCATGGAGGATTTTGTGCACTTGACTCATACCAATCTTTAAGCTTGCCCGGATCTGCTAATAGGTCACTCTTTTGTCAGTCTCTATCATACGCCGCACAACACGGATGTTATCTACAGTTGTCGCCGTAGAAGGCCGTCCCTCACGCAAATCATCGGTGAGATTAGTGCGACCACGTTTAAACTCATTAAACCAGTTGTAAACAGTGGCACGAGACGGGGCTTCATCGTGGAAGGCCAATCGTAGTCTATCATAACTTTCTTGTTGACTTAGATGACATCGAAAGTCATAAAAAATCATCACACGAAAATTTTCTCGTGTTAAGTTCATGATAACGTTACACAGACTATTTTCAATTTGCAGCCAAACCGTAAAACACATGACATACGAATAAATTATATACTCAGTACTATTCGTAAAGAGTTCCATTTTCAAAATTTTAACAATTTTTTTTATTATATTGCTCTCAAATAGCCAGTTCTAAAAACTTTCAGTGTAGCCCTCGTACAGGTTATAATTTGTAGTATATAAAAAGTATATAATATATAAAGTATATTTTTGCAAAATACTGAAAATAGGTAACACTAAACTACGTAATAAGTAAATAAACATTTACTATTAAAATGTTTCCATATTTAATGGAGAAGTTTTATTATAATATCCTATTAAAGAGACAATTAAAAAAAGCAGGATGCAGTAAAAAAATTAATGGCAATTCAATTTGTTTTAAATAAAAATGTTATATGTATCAGATAAAAACAAATATCAAAAGTGGCATTTTAGTGTGTCATATCAGTCAGGTAAGAGTTGGTCTTCAGCCGCTCCATAAGTTCTTCCGCGGGTTTGCAGTGCCATCTGCACTCGGTCCCTATCATTCAGTAAAGCTGTAAAGGCAGGCAGCTTTAGAATAGTTCGAAACAAATTGTAGCGTGGATTTTTATACTAATAGGAATATACTTTATTGTATTGGCATATGATAATATACGTATTAAATAATTTATCCTGGCTGACTATTACACTTACTGTCAAAATATTAAGTCTATTAGACGGAATTTTCGATAAATTTATTTATATATAATATACGTAGAAAACGCCTAGACCAATTCAAACAATCTTACACAAGAATACACTAGTTTTTTACCGTGCGAAGAATCGAACCCGCAACCATTGGTACTAAGGCCAACCGATAGATCATCGAGGTCCCCAAAATACAAATTAACTCGTAAAACGTGTAGAAATAATACAGAAAACTGGAATAAAACAAATTGAGCTGCCACTTTAATGCCTATTCGTTAATTTAATTTGTTCTTTATTCAATTGTAATATAGTAGAGCGTGGAATTGAAAAACAAGACAAAATGGGTGAGAATCATGCTATTTCTACAATAAATAATACACGTGTCGTGCTCTAATATTGTGCAAAAAGAAATATAAGTGGATAATACTAGAAATAAATAGGAAACCTAGGTACTCATCTTTAGTAAACAAACCAATACCGAACAAATTCGAAGCAAGCACTACTAACTACTTTATTTAAGGAAAATTAAACGGATTCACTTTGCTTAAAGGCTGGAATTAAAATGTCAAATATATCATCATATTATATATTTTGAATTCAGTAGTAGAATACAAATTCATTTAACATTGGAACTAAATTTTAAAACTAAAATTGTTTTTATGTTGTTTTATTATTTTTGTCATTAATAAATAGTATATAAAATAATAATAATTGAATCTATAAGTTATAAATACCATTTATAAGTTATATGTAAGTACCATAAATACGAAAATGCTTGTAAAATTTATAATAAACACTTTGTACATTTTAATTATTTTATTACTTGACGTATTAGCGTATTGGTAAAAATCTCAGCAAATTGTGTCTTTTTCGAAATATCAGTAAATACCGAGAGCATATAAACAAAATGAGAAGTTTTCTTGTTAAATGACTACTACTACTATGCAAGAAGTAAATACATTTTTTACGTATGTACAATTGTCGTTGCTATAATTTAACAAATACATGTGCTGTGATGTGAGTCATTACCAAATAATAACTATTAGTATTTACTAATAAAAATAGAATAGGCAAATATTTGTAGTGTAACCATAAATGGAAATAATTTAATTAATGGTGTAATAGATATGTTGAAGATAATCAGGTTAAGTTACATTATGTGTTTATTTTTAAATTATAATGTTAGAATTTCGAAACATTTAATATGATAACATATATTTGTACGTATAATTCCAGCCGAACTAGGTACAATACTACCGGTAATAATAAAATCTAGCTGTAATATAATTTTGTTAAAATTACATGAGCTTTTTGACTTCGTAGGCAAGGTGATACGCCTGGTAATTGGTATCTTGCTCCTGAAGATTCCTGTAACACAGGACCAAAGAATCGTCTCCAATACATAGAGTACTCTTCTAGAGGGAAAATAAATGTGTGCAGCGTTCATCAGGATTACCAACCTTAAAATACTTAGCCTCGTACAAAGAAATAAAAAATCCGATTAAACTTCGTATAAAAGTATTTTTAAGACGACCCTCATAAGGTTGGCATCCCTGGTATTCATATTAATACTAGAATTACGTGTGGCGTGCACATCGTGCCAAACAAAACAGTAGTGGCAGCAGTAACATTGATATATCAAGCTGCGACATAGAAAGAACAGATTACACATATGAATTATAGTAGTTTATGTTATACATTTTATAATTTTTATTTTATATTATTTTTAAGCAAATTAAAAAAGTAAAGTAGGAAATAATATGTTGGGGTAACATTGAGTAGCAAATAAGTTAGGCATAGACAACTGTGTCAATGTCAGTTATTTTTTTAACAGGTATCATAACTAAAAGCGCAGGGCCGCATCACTAAGAATAATATGTTTCTTGTATGAAACTGTGCATCCACTTTATTTTAGGATATCATTTTTAATGCCTTCATGTGGTTGCATAGATTCAATTTAGCTTTTGTTCTCATAAGAGCAGTGCCCAATGTGAACAAATAATCAATATATTATTTATCACTGTCATAACATAGGTAACTACTTCTATGAGAGAAATTGTCAGGAGAAGATGAGTGTTTCTATTCGCCAACACACTGTCAAGCTGTATGGCGATAAATGTATGCATATAAAACCTTATCTTAAATAAATAAATAAATGTTTATAATATAATCATGGGGTCCCTAGCATCTGGCCCAGAGGGAGGGAAGGTAAAGGAAGGCCCAGGTAAAGAAATCAGTTTTAGATCAGGTTGGGTTTCTTTCAAAAGTTGATAATGTATTGTAACACATACAATTTTTAGTAAGGGTATATCTGTACTCTCTTGAATGGGTACGGTCATGTAAATAATATTGTGTGAAGATAGATTTTAAAAGACAGTACATAATTTAGTTGCCTGTATATTTTTTTACATATAAAGTAATTAATTTTGTAATAATAATTTAGTCGCTAACTACTTACATTACTAGTACTAACTACTTACATTATTAGTATTATGTATTCGTAACAACAAAAGACTGCCTACTGTTGTATTTAAAATAATGTCATACATTTCGACTTTAAAATCTATTTAGGAGAAAGAATGAGAGGAGAGAGAATTTAGGAGAAATTTACAATTAATCGATTGGTTAACAGTTCTGTTAATAAGCTACTAAGTTATAAACAAATCTTTGAAAGCGATTAAAAGTAGTGATACTTATATATGCCTATATTGTACGAACGCAAAGCAAACATATTAGTTTGAAACATTTTAAATGAACTCGCAAACTTTATTGAAAATTTTTAAACGAACTCCTAACAAAACCAAATTTGTAGAAACTGTGCTTTGGTAAGTTCAACAGTAATATGTATAATTTTTTAACAAGCAATCTTATAAACATTTTTATTTTATCACTCATTTGGAGTTGAGTCTATTAAGCCATGGTTATTCTCAGTTAGTTGAGGCTTTGAGACTTGTTTGAGAATTATGTCGTCAAATTTTGAACATTATATATGTATATACTATGCCCACGCTTACACCTGCGCGAAATTTATAGCCTGTATATTCTGATGTATAAGCTATATTATTGTAAAGTTTCATTAAAATCCATTCAGTAGTGTTTGCGTGACAGAGTAACAAACATCCATCCACACTCAAACTTCCGCGTTTATAATATTATTAATATCTAAGACAACTCACGTATCGGGTGGTGCTCTATTCACGTTGGGTTTCACCTTGTTGACCTGCCTCGTTGTGGTGGTGTTGATGAGTTGGTTAGCCATGGGAGATATGAGGCCCTGCGGCACCGCGTTCCGATGGTTCCGGTTGATCACTGTTTTTAGTTTTAAATAAAAAAAGGCTCAGGACTCATATATGACGTAGGTAGAGTTATTCGTTATAATTTCTGTGATAAACATAATTTAGATTTGCACGCACAAGCGAGCAATGGACTCGAATCGTAAAAAAAAGTATTTTGATTAAATTTAATGAAAATATTACATTAATTACTGACATTACAAAAATCACAATGAAGCAATCTTTAATAACCCAAAAAAAGCCTACTGTCACGACCCCAGATGGAGTTGTCAGAAGCATTGCATATATTTTAATCATACGTGACAGGCGAGCCTACCACAACCTCTCGGACAATTTTTATTCGATATCGGTGTTTTCATCACCGGCAGAAATATAAATCAGTTTGATACTTTAATAATGAATAATGAAATACTTACAACTTGTATCTTCTCCTCGTTCTCTTGCAATTTCACCTACAAATAATTAAAAAATTACTATAGTTTTAATTTTCACTACATTATTCAGTAAATCTATAGCATTATTTACTTATTAAGGGTATTTAAGGATTTTCTAATTCATTACGTGAGGGCAACATTTTGGGTAAATTAAATAGCAATATTCATGTTTATATTATAATTAATTAAATGCTTCGAAAATGATTATTATAATTCATATTCTACAACATAAGCGTACCAAGAAAGCATTCAAGGATACAGTAGCATTTCTGTAGTACGGAGATGCAATGTTATGAGGTGGTAGCAACACTTGGCGTAAGGGTACAGACCAGAAATGATAAAATATATCCGCTTTAGAGTTAACCAAGAAGCACATATCGATGGAAAGATTTATTATCTTGTACTAATTTAACATTTCATTATTATTGTGATGCGAAAATAATAATAATAAATAATTTTGCTTTGTGAGTGAACAAAAAGAAAAATGCTACGTTTTAGATTGAAATTTTCTTACGGCGGACGTTAATATCAGTTAATACGAGCAAAGTATGAGAAATTTTCTTAAAATCAACTCGTTCGCTTAAGCGACAGTAGGTACAGTGGTGTAACTACAACTTTAGCCGGGTTCATGCCTGATTGAAGCGATTCAAAATCCCCAGTGGCGTATCACGTCACCACTATTATCTAGTGCTCGCTATGAAAATGCGTGATAAGCATCTAGTGCGTGATATCATCTTTGAACCTACAGACGAAGCACATTGCTGGTTGTTAATGGGAAAGTGTGGGCCGATGATAAAAGAAAACAAATAAAAATAAACACTCAGCCCTTTGAGCCTGAGATGTACCTCGAACATGGACCTTCTTGGGCAACTCTGGCGGCGTGAAGGTGGGGGGAGGATGGTGGTCATCTGCAAAACATCAGCACAAGTTCGCATTCCGATACACCAATTAATAAATACAGTAATACCTACTGGCACAACGCAATATTCATACAGCGTGTGGCTTTGAACGACAAGTTACTGTTGCAAGGATTATAACAGACAAACTGTTCAATTTCACCTTTTCTTGTATAAAAGCTTTAGCAATCTTGGAAGCGGTTCACAACGCCAATGTCAAAGGTGAAACTGAAATGTCTAAATATATTTAAATTAAATGAGTATTGTCTTTAAGTAATAGGTATACTTAGAATAGTACTACAACATTCACATGCAACAAACGTACGTTAAAAACAAACACACAACGTTATCACAACTAACTATTACGCAAGCTTTGTGTTCTAGTCTACGTAAATAATTCCAAAACTGATTTACATGAATTTAGAACCCTACATTGAATGAGTTCGACTAATGTTAAGGGATGTGATAAATGATTACTGATCATGAATAATTAGGAGATGGTACCGAGCGTACTAACGTTTTAATGATTTAGGCGAATAATAATTAAAGTACTGCAAGGTGTGATTATAAATTAGCGTTACAAATATACCACATCTTCGACGGACGCAGTAACTGCAAAGTCCAGACGGTTCTATCGAGGCGGGATCAGCTAATCAAATTAAACGTTCCCTATGCAGGGTAATTTTAAATAATTAAAAATCACTTCGAATTATTGTATAAGCATAATAAAATTACAAATTAACTTCAATTAAAACTATTACACAACATCAATATCAGAGGGACTATTTCGATGCAGAAATTAGGGAATCAAAATACTCCTAGTAAATATTCTGAGACTGATAATAATAATAATAACAACAACACCAAAAATAAATATAATGACATCACAAATGTCTCTCGATGTTTATAATATCGACTAATAGAGAGGCAAACATCTAACTGCTGAATGAATGCACATAGAGTAACGTAGACAAGACAATGAACAGGACACGAGGTTGCTAAACGCGGCGTACGGTGGCCTGCTGGGCTCACCGACCGGTCATGTCGCTTAAAAAACATCACATTGACATGTACACTGATATTTATACACATTTAGGTTACGTACTTGCCCTGCCAACCATCTGGACGGCTCGTACGCCCTTCCTGAATGTAGCCACTGAACCGAGAAACAATATGTTTTAAAGCTCGTTTCATAGTAATACTAATTTATTTAACCTTTTTAATTGTAGGTGTTACACAAGGAACGCAAATAATATGGTATAAGGTATATGCAGACAGAGATGCAAAGCTGAGGAATTCCTGTATATATGTGTATGATATTCAAGAAATTTCATGGTACCTATATAAATTTAGAATTCGGCTTTTTGATTACGAGCTTTTCAGTTTAGTAGTTAGGTTTTAAAATGTAAAAGACACAACAATTAAAAATTATAACAAACATATTATATAATCTGATTTGGCTAGTAATCAAAAAGTTTTGAGGTGCCCTAAAGCCTTTAGGTACTTTGTGTTTGACTTGAAAGGGTCTGTCCTAAACTGTCAAGATAAGCAAATTTGTAGTTAAATATTATTCTGCTTTGTGACTTATTAGCCTTGTTGCACTATTCTAGCTGCGTGTATCATTTGATCGTGTATTAGCAAATAGTAATGTAGCCCAGTATATGTCGCCCATGAGCGATGGTTAGTTGATGCAAACAAATTAAACGTGTTGTGAGGTACGGTAATATGGAATAGTTCGGATATCCTTTCCGTACCGTCGAGACAACCTCGATATGTATTAAGATTTTGTTTCACCATCCCAGTCTGCATCATCATCATTCCGACATCTGTAAAAATCCAAAAACTGACAAATACGAAGGTACGCTCCTATTTCATTAATGAATTGGGAGATATCGTTTAGTTATTTTGATTTGACAGTACCAACTTCATTGATTTTTTAAAATTTCTAATCTCTTCCTTTTCAGTTAGATTTCTTTAATTATATAATTTGATGCTATCAAATCAGTGAATGATAAAATGAATAGTGACAGTGGTTTAGTTTCTCTTGACCTTGTGTTAGTCACTATCAATAGCACTGACAAGCTGAAACTGTTGTCTAAAGTCTTTGATTTCCAAAGCTCACTCTGCATGGGACAACTCCCATTAGCACTTTATCTTCACTCTTATTTTTCTGAGACATGCTTTCGTAGATTTACATACATTTTCATTAACTAAGTGTTTTAGGGATAAATGGCGGTGCAATTTGGTGTTTACGGTATTTAGTTCTACTAATATTTACTGTATACATGCAATGTACTGTCTGTGCTGGGCATTGAAGTGCATCATATCAATTTATAAGTAATTTATTTGCACCGAATTGAAATTTAGTATGAAGCGTGGCTTCAGTGTGTGTAATAAGTTCCTGATTGTTGTGATTAATGTTTGTATTGAATGATGCACTAAATCCTCTCAAGATCCATACAAATCAGAACAGAGCGCGAAATATCTCAAAAGGCATAGAAAAATGGTGAAGTGTCGGAGTGCTTCATTTCGTGGCAATATCCATTCACGAGCGAGCGGACATACACAATGATCGCTAAATTATAGGGTGTGAACGAGCACGGGTCAAGAGAATGTCTTGCAGCCGATCCAGTCTGTGAGGTACGGACGCAACACCACTAAAGCAACTCAAAATTATATAGACACGAAAAATAAATATCGGAAAACGTCAATTTGTGAGGTTAGGTGTGGTGCAAGTTACCTATGTCGGCTCCAACCTTCCGCTGCGCGGTCACTAAAAGTTTAGCCGAACAATCCATTAATGTCTCACAAATATAAAGTACACATGTGAAGTTGGCAAGTTGGGACAAGTTTTGCTGTGTAAACGTGTCAATACGTTCCTACTGTGTTAAGAGATGTGACAATTCTCTTTACATATACATAGGAATGTGTTCAATTTGTGATTATAAATTTATTTAAAGGATAGGTTGTGAATTGTAATTAATTTTAATATACATCTAATAGATATCAATTTCCAGAAAGAATGTCACAGAATCCTTCGTTAACAATTAGTTAATGGCACTTTCTAGTTGTTAAGTATACTATCATATATTACAAGGGGTTTATTATTGAGAAATGTTTGTGACATGAAGCAGTGCAATGATCTTACAGTTTTTGCATTTGCATTTCTTGATGAGTGTCTCGTCTTTGATGTCCTCGTGGCAGGCTTTACAGTAGTACCAAGCTCTGAAAGTAAGCATGACGTTAATGTTAATGTGTCTGAAGGAAGTACAGAACTATCTGCCAGTAATGCAGGTAATAACACGTTTAACATGTATGATCCTGAACTCTGAGTTTGTAGGGTACCTATAGCCAATTTGTTTATATTGATTAACATTGTTGCTGACATGTACCTACTTACATTTGTTTTATTATGTAATTGTAGACGTATACATATAAAAATAAAAAAAACATGTGTATTATAATACATTACTCAAATTAATTAATAGATATCAGCAGTCAATGAGCTAGGTAAAAGTATGAAAACCAAAAGCTACGATACAGCTGATTTTGGTACTTGCTTAAAATATTTTCTAAGAACGCTACTGGCGTCTATTTCAAATACCACGTTACTGTTCAAATGGACGTTGGCATAGTAAAATTTTTATGTCTATATTTTTCTCTAAATAAAATAATAACTTTGAATTAACTAATGATTTAAGCATCTACATTAATATCCATAAGACTTTTATAGGAGTTTCTTAAATTAGAATAGAGAACAATTTTCCGTTTGGTCCTTATTTAAACATGCTATTAGCATTTTTCTAATATATTTAGAAAAGCTGTAGTATGAAATTATACGGAAATGTTATTAAGTACCTGGGCCAAGAATCTTTAAATTACCTCTTTACTTCGTCAGCCGACTGTGCTATGAAAAACCCTTGTGTGTTGGCCAATATCTTCGCGTTTCGAGGGTTGATGGAAATTTTGCTGTCCGCCCCTTCTTCACCCTTGATTTCTATAGCTAACAGCAGCAGTTTGAGTTTTGTGAAGCATAACCTGAGGAGATATCGTCATGCTGTATCAGATGTCACCTATAAAATGTGCTACAGCGAATGTTTTCGTAAAATTTATGACTTTTCTTAATTAACAGGGATTAGAAACTTACACGACTAAAACACTTTAATTATTTTTAATCATGTTTCTATAGTATAATTATTTATATTACTTAATTAAACGCAGTCATTTTCGTTTATGTTAAACAAAATATTGTATTTTAATAGTTATACAACAGTGTTTAATTACATTTTGAAGTGTTAAAATATACCGTCTAATTTACACTTATCATGCTATTTTTTTAATTGAAACAAAATTAATTAACAACAATAATAACGTAAAGATTTATGACCAAAGTAGTCTCATGCAGACAGAATTGAAACTTCTGTGGTTCACTTAGGTCAATTCAATAAAAAAATTCTAAGTTGCCATATTAACGAATGCCAGGTATTGACAAGAAAATAATTAATCTCAACACATTGCTGAGACAAAGAAAGTACCAAAATTAATTACCAAAAAAGTTTCACTCCTTTCACGCACACGGAAGTGTGCATATCTTTTAGTGTTATAAGTTATAAATTATGAGTAATTCTGTACTAATTAATACAGCATAAAACTACATTATTAAATATCTATACTACAATAATATTACTTATTAGTTAATAAAAACAATCTCTGAGAATATAAATACTAACTTACAACACTTAAAACACAAAAGCGAGAGAAGGATGCAAGCTACCAGCGCTACACAAGTGAAAATGTACAGGTTGAAATTATTCAACAAAGATAGGTGACTACAAAACGAATATTTAAAAATCTAATATTTGTACAAATGAACTATTTAATACTTACGTTACCAATATTTAAATAACTTACTGCACTGATCAATGCACTGTTTCAAAAGTGTTTGCAATTATTTACAAATGATAAACCTACATAGACAGCCAACCTATAGATAGAAAAAATATAAGTGTTTCAATAAATTTATTTATTCACTACATTCTACTAGTAACAATGACTATAGAAGTACAATATCATTCATTTCGCTACTAGGTACAAATAATCCAGTCAACATGCACAATTCTGGAAGGAAAAGGATCATAAAATTAGTTCTCCAAAATTCAACCTACGACGTGTGGTCTAGGGTTGTCAGGAAATGTTAGTGCACATTCAATTAAATTAGCTAGGGTTAGCAACTCGTTACACAGTGTCTACAGTGCGGGGTGCAGGCGGGCCAAGTACGGGTCTTACTCGCTCGCTTGAGGGAAGCTCATCCCAGTAAACGACGTCGATAGAGTCTCCGTGTACATCTCGCAGCCAGTACCCTGCAGGTAATCGTTCTGCCAAGCTTGTGTGTCGGGGGACTGCAATCAACCAACGGGAGACGCTAAAGCTCGTGCCATGTTAGTCGCGATCGCCGCAAACTTCTGCGAGTGGGGTACATTCTGCGCCTAAGCCACCTCCTATCACTTCCCATTAGCTTCTACAGGTACATGAATATTAGTACACGTTTTCTCTATCAAAGCATTGCCTATTATTCAATTTTATTTGTTCCCAACCTTTCAGTGCAGTACATATAGTATAATGACACTTAGATGATTCAAAAATGTGAAAGAAACATCGACAGTCAAATACAGACTAAGCCAGCAAACAATACTGTACATAAACACTAAATGAGAAGCTATGCGATTATTTATAATCGGTTAGTGATGTCGCCCCTCGAGTCAACGGAGTCGTGGAATGATTAGAGACGGGTACAGAAATATGTATGTATTGTGACGTAACGCTTTCTCGTGTCACGGTTGGTAAGCGTCGCTGCCCACTTACTCTGCGGCCAGTTTGAAGGACATCCCCACAAAAGTCGGGCTTAGCTTCTCCGTGTACATCTCCATGCCGGTACCTCGCATGTAGTCATTAGTCCATATAGCCATGTCTTGTGACTGTGGAAATGTGGCATAGAGCGTGTTAAAAGAAAAGAACATTCGAAAGACATCACGCTATTGTACCTTTATCGCCAATAAACGCGAGTGTATCCACTTTCGAATGAACTTTTGAAGAAATTGCTAGTAGATTTTTAGAGATGGAATAGGTTAATAACAAAGCTGACCGTCTTGAAACTCCTCATAGCGAAGAGGTTCGCCATCATGGTGGAGAAGCCTGGTGCGAGGCAACTTTGCGCGATGAAGCCCAACTTCAGTTCTGCTAAACAAATCACGTCGTCTCCCTGCTTCCAGTCCCAAGATGGAATGTTGAGAAGATAGGCCTGGAATGCAAAAGAAACTTTTTTAAATAGTTTTCATGACGCGGAAGGATGTTAGATTTTAGAATGTATAAAAATCTACGATAGTTGAAGAGTATGTATGTTTACTATACGTTTGGCGAGAATAGATATATTCAGATGGTCGTTTTTTCATGTAAACGTGCAAAGTGAAACGTGCAAGAAGCTAAACATTATTTCTTTCTGATGAGAAACTTTTGTAATATCAATACATAAATTTAAAGTTCTATCCTCTAATGTTACGTTTCTGTCTACAATTCTGTTCTACTAATACAAATTCAACAGACAAAAGTACGACAACATATTTTATGTATTGTTGTTAGATTGTACGAGGTACTACGGTGTTATGTTCCTTTAGAGATTTTTTAATCATTACTTTTTAGATCATTTCCTTTTTTGCGATTGACAATAGTCAATTAAAAATAGATTGAGATTATGCAGATTTACAACCAAAATTAATAAAAAAACTTATTCACCTTATTGTGATATTGCATGAGTTGGATGATAACCCTGATGTCATCTGAGTAATTCTTGATGGAGATGACCCTCATAATATTCGCAGCGTCTTCAGCATCAGGGTCTTGGCAGTATTTATTGGCTAGCACTAAACAGGCATCCGCTTCATGTACCTACATGTTTTAAATTAAGAATTAAAGCAAATATACAAATTCTTGAACAATAGATAGAAATTCTAGAACTGAAATTAATATCGAACAATACTAGTTAAATATTAAAAAATATTAGTGAGTTTTGTTTGCGTGGGATAATAAATTTGAGTTAGTAATTCCTATTTATTAGTGAATGTGTCATTTCTCTTTATAGTTTAATCGTAGATAATCAGTTTCTTTATTGGTAGGTAATAACAGTGAGTTATCTAAGCATGGTAAGCCCAAACAAATGGTATATAAAAAAATAAATATATAACCTTAAAAAATATGCTTATGAGTATAATCCCAAGTGGAGTAACAGATTTACTGTGTTCATTTTTAAATATTACTTTAATTTCATAGTACCTAAGTATATGCGTGTAAAAGGTGTTTAGTTTTGTTATTAAAAAATATACCAAAATGTTTTTCCTGATTTTTTTTAAACATGAATTTGAATTTATTTGTTAGTACTATGGAAACTTACCATCAAAAGTTACTACCGTAGTTAAATATTTTCTGTGATAAATGTATCGATTATAAACTAGTGATAAGTAAATATTACTGTGTAGTTAACATAAGCTAATTATCACGGATAGACTAAGAAGAATAGCAGGCACAACATTAGAACTACGTGTAAAAAATGAACACTACTTTAAATTAGACACGTTTCTGAATAGCATCAATTTGATCTAACTCGACACCATTTAAACCCGCCCACGTATATAATAAAAAGAAGTAACGATGTGACGGACAGACTTACAGACTAACTCGTACCAAAAATGTTAATTTTTTTTTATAAAATGTGAACTCATTTTTATTTCTTACTTTTACGTTCCTGTTTATATACATCAGATGTTGCTTTCACATTTGTTTTAAATTATTTACCATCATTTGTTAATGATCATCGAATTTATTTAATCAAGTTTAACAATTTTGTTTGATTAATAATGAGTTTATAATTATTTTGGATAATATTTTATAATAAAATAACTTTATATAGTAACAAGAAAATATTCAGTAGTGTTCATTTTGGGTTAGGATAACAAGCAGGTGGGTGTTAATATACTATCAATACCATGCACAAAACAACAGTCATGCCGACTAAATGTGAAGCCGTGCATCGACATCTAAAACTTACCATAAATACTCGACAATATCGACAATCGACAACTGTACTTGACTACAACAATTTGAATTTTGAATTTGAAATTCTTTCGTAGGCAGCCATTAACGCCAATGTAATATGTCCTAATTGTTTTTTGATAATAACTATTATTGTACAGTACAATAGATATCGATTGTTTGGAGTTGCACGGGCCAGCATTGCATACAACACCCATTGGTACAGACATGGTGGCCGGGCGCGTTATAGGGTCGAGGGGAAGGGGTAACACACACGCCCAGACCGTACTGGTCTGGAGCACACACATAGATACATTAGCACAGGCACGCACAGACAGCGCTCAAGTCATCACAGAAGGGAACTTTATATAGCTCCAACAGAACTCCTCGGAAAAGGTTAGTGAACGAGCATCGCTCTACGTCTATAGAAATGACAGTCTGTACAGCTTCAAACCGACACCACGCCCAAAACCACATCGTCGTGTGCACTACTTACTTTTACCCTCTGTAGGTCGATTGGGTTCATAATGGTGCCTTGAAAGAATTCCACAGTGGTAAAGTGTCTCTTGAACAGGCCTTCGAGCTCCAAGTCGGGCGGTTTCCTGTCATCAACGCTCAGTTAACACTACATGTAGTGGACAGTCCGCCGCCTGTCGTGGGCCGATCTTACCATGCAACGCTATTTACCAAAATACGCAGTCGTGGGGTGGAACGGCTGCGCCTACGCGTCAGGCACGAGGCGCGACCGCTCCACCGTGAGAAGCAATGATTGCATCAAAAGAACCACAAGATAAAGTTACCAAGGTGATCAAAAACCTACTGTGACTATGAAACAGCATCTTTAAAGAGGAAAAAGATCTGTTATATGCACATAAACAAATAAAAAGGTACTGGTTCACGTAGACGCGGTAATTGATAAGTACGGCCGTGCGATAAACTAATGCCTGCTCTATTCGGTCTCACTCTAACCTTGACTCTTTCAAGGTCGACGGCATTCATCATTGTACCCTGAAAAAACTCGACGGTGGTGTAGTGACGCTTCAGTAGGCCTTCCAGCTCAAGGTCGGGCTCTTTTCTGAAAGCGTCGTCGGATATTCATGACACCACCCTCATGTTAATGGCCACGTACACTATTGTACATGAGCAGCAGCTACTTAAATCTATACATTTTACAAATAATATCAAATGAGAAAATAGATTTTATAATAAATTTCTTTTACATAACAATAAATAAGTATATTGTATATTTCAAAATATATTTTATTTACAAAAATATATACCTATACTACATCTGTTAAAATCATAATTCTGATATATAAAAAATATTTAAGAACATATATAAATTAATACCTAACAACGTTGCGTCAGCGTCAGCGTAATTTGGAACAATGATGAACTATTTTGTATAATTGTTTATTAAAGAGGTACTCCATTATCATCATTAGTGTCAGAAATATATGTTTATAAATAATAAAGTGAACGTTATAAAACAATTATAGATACCTACTTTTTTAGTGGATTCTTTACACTTTCTGTTACATATTTATTAGTACCTCATTTCTTTACAACAGTATTTGAGTGTACAGACTTACTGATATAAGATATGTCATTCATTATTCTATTGTAGATTATTATAAAGAATATTAGGATTAGTAAAAGAAATACATAGTTGCAATATTTACCTGTGTAAAAAAACAACCTCAACATCTACGTCTTCTCTGTCTTCATGTAGGAAGTCTTTTAAAAAATGGCTCACTGACTCGTATGTTATATGGCCACATACAACAATATGCCTGAAAGTCCATAAAAAATATTATAACACCACGAAATCTAGGCCAAACTAAGAAGGTGCTACTATACAAAATTGTTGGAAAGAAGCAGTGAAGCGAGTTGTATTGTAAGCCTTCATACGATAAATCCGATTGAATTTACAAATGCAGAATTGAAATTGAAATTTGCAAAATTTTGAATAAATGCTGTGTTGTTTTTTACAGATTGAAATATCTTTTATAAGCAAATCTTTATAAGCTTTATAATATCTTATTGGTGGAATAGAAAAGTCAGAAAAACAGCAATTTGAAGTTTTATTTAACACCTGGGACCACAGTTGCAACTGGTAACATAATAGATAAAAAGGGTCTCGACAGGGTTAAACAAAACAATTGGTGGTATAAGCATGGACATAAAAAAAAAAATAAACAACGCCTTCAGTTCGTAATCGAATTTTGTTAGGTATATTTTTTAGAATACTAAGGTTGGGGCCATATTAGTAAAAAAACATTAATTTTGTCTTCATTTTGTTGGGGACAAAATGAAGGAAGGGAACTAAAGGCGTTGTAAAATAACCTCCATAATTTACTATGATTGTTCATCAATTTGTGGTAAGTTTATTCACAATCACCAATTACATCGTATTTGATGTCACCATACTTTTTTATTACACAATGACCCACAAAGAAATGAACAGCCTTTACTAGAAAGCTCAGTTTCGTTCAGGACGTGTGTATACTATCTACCACTCTAGAAAATAAAAAAAAACCACAACATTAACAGGGTCTGGAGTGTGATATTTATTATGACGGTGTATAAAATTTTGGGAATAATGATAATCATAACATTCATTGCAAGGAAAATGATTTCAGGGTAAAATGTAATGAATAAAATAGTCAGTGTACGAATTTAAAGTATTGTACATACATATCACCTCAGATATTTATATGCAGTATTTAGGATGTATGAATGAATGAATACAATTACGTATTATACGAATACGGTATTGACAATTGCATATAAATATCAGGTAACAAAAGCTTGTGTCTCAGTATGTCCATCAAAATTATTAGAGTATTAGAAATGTTTGATTAAAAATTTGTGTAAATACTTATTTGGGTATGGCCTCAATTCTTTATAAGTTCGACTCGGGGTTAGATAGTGGTTGCACAACAGTGGCAGGTGAACAGACAGTCGACAGCGACGATACAATGATGGAGGTTAAGTTGTCTTGCAAGTCAAACCATACATTCTACGGAAGAATTACTGTTAACTCACTAAAGTCATCCAGAAATTTAGTAGAAAGTAAAAGATAAATAAAAATGCAATTTACTGGTATCTACGCTTGTCATGCAAAACTATATTCATCTAAGGTGTGGCAAAGGAACTGGTATCATCGTTGTTATAATAAAAAGTAATAAACTCTACCTTGTATTGACTGCAAAACATCGTATTTTAAAATTTAAAATTTTGATAAAAAATGAACTGTGTATTCACGGCTAAGATGACGTCAATAATGTAAATGGTATAATGTCAACAATCTAAGCTAATTTTGCGTTAAAATGTCCTCAATGCACACAGCCTTGCCACGCTCTATGAATCATTTACGTAAATACATTACACTAAATTAACCGAGGGGGTCGATCCAAAAGTACATTACAGATTACAAAACAGTAAAGAGGGTCAACATTAAAGAGTTACAGTAGGTACAGTTACAGAAGTCGTGCAGGCGGGGATCAGAAGGCGAGGAGTAGGCGAGCGGATGGCACTCACTAGGTACAGGAGGTACAGGGGTAGGGTCGCATCAACAGCGCCCCTCGCGGGCTCTCGGGGCGGGCTGAGCCAACGCCGCGCCCACAGAAAGGAGCTGTCGACGCCTCACACACCAGAACTCCAACAACACACTACGGTACCACTCAACATTTAACTCTTCTCAACTAAGCTTTACGTTAACATTCCTTTACGTACGTATACTAACAGAACATAATCATGAAACCTATAATGACGAGCGATAACACTAGCCACTATCTGCTTTTCACTATTCAACTGAACTCAAATCAATTCAAAGGTAATTTGCAATCATATCGACTCATAAAAACATTTCGCGGGACTCTCGTCCCGCCAAAGATAAGTGAGAACACAGAAGCGTGCTAAGAGAGGAAAAGGAAGATATAGATATGTCACAACACGGAACACATTCAATGGAACGGAGTGAAGACAGCGGCTCACCTGCGTCCCCGCTCATTCTTGAGGGTGCCGCCATACTTGGGTCTAGTGCCGATTAAGTCAATTATCTCTGGGATACAACTGGCAAATATCGCCTAAACGCCGACAGACAAAACAAGACATTCACATTCAAGTTGATCGGGTAAGTTAAGAGGGGCGCAGTGGAAGCGAGCTGTCATCCACGGCAGGTGCTTCACGGCGGCGGCGGTGGCTGTGGATGACGACTCGCTTCCGACTGGTCCTCAGTGGCGGGCGAGCACAACGGGCGATTAGTAACGTGGTCGGTCGCGACCGGGCAGTGGGTGTCGGACCGCGGCGCGGGCGGCGGTCGCGGGCGGGCGGCGCGGGCACTGGCTGTGTGTGATCGTCGGGACTCGTGGCGAGGTGCCGGAGCTAGCGCTACAGCGTGGCGACAGGCATCGTGTGCAAGCGAACAAACCAAACACTACTTCATCGACAGCATTACAAAACTTTACATCGGCTCTCTCCAGATCTAGTCTCGTTAGAAGGATTAAAAAGCTCAACGGTATCTCGAGTAAAATTTACGAAAAAAGGCATGTAGTAGTGCGTCGGTCGACCGCGCGCCTGTCTCTCTAGTTCGGGGAGAGGGGCGCGGCCGCCGGGAGCTAACTCTTCGAGCATGCGCCACGGCACCGAGAGACCGATTCTAGTGAAGGATTAATAAATTTCATTAGCAAACTCCGCATTCAATCAACCAAGATCGAAACCGTGAGAGGTAGGAAGGCAGGAAGCCGCGTGGAGCGGGGGCGTGAGAGCAGGGTACCTGCGGCGGACGTCCTTGTTGTACCGGCCGCCGTATTTGTTCCGCTGCGCCGCCAGCTCCGTGATCTCGGGGATCCAGCTGGCGAACACAGCCTACGATACACAGCAAACACCGCGAGGTGAGTGACCGCCCTCCGCGCGCCCGCCCCGCCCGGCCCGCGGCCGCGTACCCTCGCGCTCGCACAAGGCTGTGTGGCTTGAGTCTCGTCTGTCTGCGTGGTGGCTGTGGCTGTGGCTGTGTGTGGATGTGCGGGACTTGGGTGCCGTGCCGAGCTACGCTAGCGGCGGCTGTGACCGGCGCAAGCCGTGACGGGACTCGTGACCGGGTGCATGCAAAGCCTAAGGATACATACGCTAACTAATCGATGAACAGAACTTAAAAAGAAATCGGTTACACCGGTTCCTAAGCTAAAACGATGGGCATTCGATATAGACGCTTGGTAGAGCGTGAACACGAACCGACCGGCGCGACCGACGGCCAGGCAGACCGCTCGCTCCGGCACTACTCGGAGCGACTAGCTCGAAAGCTCGGGACACTCTTATAGCACTGGAGCGAGGAATCTACCGCTGTACAGTCGAGGGATCGACGAGTGGACACGAGTAGATGACACAATACATCTGACGGCACTGAGCAAGCTTTCTTAGAGGTGATGATTTCACATCGTCTCCCGAGAGATCGGGCGATTCAGTGCGAACACAGCGACCGCGACGGGTGTTTACGTTTCGCTCGTGCCGCGGAATGAATCGCCTTCACTTTCGGTGAACAATTTATATTATCAAACGGATACCTTTTTCCATGTTCACGCTTCAGCTCGCCACTGTACTTGGACCTACTTCCTACCAGCTCTATAATTTCGGGAATGCTACTAGCGAACATTGCCTGCAACAGACCATGGTGTCGATCGAATATCAAGTCTGGGAGTCACGCGGACACCATCGCGTGGTGCACGACAATGTCCACCTCGAGTCTCGGTATAAATCTATGGTGACGCAGAGTCGTAAGTGTAGCCGGTAGCGGAGCAAAAATAAAAATAAAAGGAACGAAGTGTGTGTCTACCGGTGATGTGAGCAACTGAACACAGCCAGGCACAGGTGCGGCATGCAGAGATCGCGAGGTGGGAGGGGTGGGACGCGGCGCGGGTGCCGGACCGGCGCGCTCCGGGCGCCGGCCACGGACCGGACAGCGGACACGTCTCACACTACTATACGTATCTCGTCTCGTACCACTGTCCCCATTTATATTTCGTATCTCAAGCGCGGCGAGAGTTTCTCCGGCAGCACATTCGCGGTGAGTACTCACGTAACAAAGCAAAAGAAAAACAAAATACATCCATGCAATTGAAGTCGCTCGAAATAAAGCTCATTTGGTGTTCGGCGATAGAATAAGAGATGCTCCAACGAGTAAGCGGCCGAGAAGTTAGAAAAGAACATTGATGGACGATGAGGCGACGGCAGCCGCGGACGGCAGCGGCCCGGGCGCCCGGGCGCCGGCGCCGGGCGGGCGAGCGAGCTCCACCACTCTCGAACATTGTCCAACTTATTGTCATGCTCTCTATACACTGTGCACTAGTCAGGCTTACAATCATTCAACGAGCTGTGCGGATAATCCGGTACGTTTCTCTAACAAGTCCCTTGTGAACTATCACACGACCTTTAAATGGCAAGTCTTTGTTATATTTCCTTTTGCTTTGTTATTAATTTAGCTTTGATTTTATGCAAGGAATCGCAAGCGGGTCGGTTTAGCCGTGTACGTAGTACGAAATAAATCGGCGTGATATATTCGCGGTAAACATCGTAGAGAATTTAAATGCCTTCCTGCTGTATGAAATCAAATTATTCATTATGACTTGCCTCTCCTTGCAAAATAAATTATTACATTAATATTTCAGTCACTGTGACATAAGTTTTCAATTAAATATAAGTTATTGTTACAATTAATTTTATTTGAGAGTAAAAATTAAAAACGATACTTACCAAGCCAACGAGGAGAAAAAAAACCAAAAAGGTTCTGCCAAGTACTGTGTGACAAAACACATCACCGTAACCTACAGTGGACATGGTGACTATAAGGAAGTACACACACGTCCAGTACGATAGTTTCTGCGCGTTCTCAAACTCCAACGGGTCGCCGGAGTTCTCCAGCTGGAAATAAACAAATTGTGTTATTACGACACTTTGTCAGTATTTAAAATTACAAGAAAGGGAGTAAATAATCAAATGACTACAACAGGGATGAATGGAAGAGAAAAACATATTACTCGGACTACAAATGAATGGGATAAGGAAGAAGCAGATGATGATTGTTGATAATAATAAAAAAATAATTGGCTATACTTTGTTCATGATATTTAGAATAGGACGTAAAGTTCTCAAGATCTGTATAAATAATTAGGTTCATTTTTATACACATTTTCATAGAATATTAAAAAAAATAGGGGAACTTACCAAATGAATAATACCTGCAGCTGTAAGCCACACTGATATGAATATAGAAACTAATTGCGCCAAACGAATCGAGCTCGATGTTTTTAATATATTGAGGTACTGCAAAATATCAGGCACGGTCATTAAGCGTAGAGCTCTGAGAAACCTTAGCCCTGTAAAAAATAAAAAGTTGTGTTTATTCTATAACCTAAGAAGTAGAAAGTAAAAACTCTGACACTAAAATATCTGATAGCATAAAGAAAGCATAAAATGGGATTTTTTAGTGCCCGTAAATAACACTATATTAAGAATATCGCGGGATCCCCTTGATCATGGGTAAACTTCATGGGAATTCAATAACTATTATTATTAATAAATAAGCGTGGTAAGATACCGTCATGTTCTCAATTTCACGTATAAATGATATACGTAAGAGACCATACGACCCATCTGATGGTAAATGGTTGCCGTAGCCTGCTAACAGAACTTTCGAGATTAGTTTCCATACGATAATTTTGAAGATAACAGACATAATAAAAATTATATAACTGAATTTCTGTTATGAAACCCTCAATAGCAGCTATTTAAACTAGTTACTCAGTATATTTATGACAGCAAGAGGAATGGAAAATAAAAAAAAAAAAAAACTTACCTATCCACGTTCTATCCAGGTATATTGATACAAAGGATGGGGGTATCGTGAAATAATCTACAAATGAATACATCTCGAGCATGAACCATAGTTTGTCACTAGCTGCTATAAACTGAAACAAAAAAAACATCAATATATTCGTAGAGATTTCGAAAATCATCATAGATCTATCTTCAAGTCACACCGCTTGAGAGATCTATAAGAAATATACTTTGAGATTTAAAAAAAATGATCTCTCACTATAGTGAGAGATCATTTTCAGCGAGTAATCTGAACTGTGTATATAAATACACATTTAATTAAAGACCCTCGCGTTAATTACAAAGACTGGTATGTTAGTGAAAAAAATATTTAATAGACTTCTTTTATAACCTGATTTTCTGTGTCATGTATGTTACGTACATACAGACAGAAAAATACACTTATTATTATCCACCAAGTGTAATTCCGGTTGTAGATCCACTTATAAATGTAACGGGTAACAAAAAACAACTTACTCGTATAAAAAAGTAGACCATAAAAAATATGTTAAAGGCAAGGTCGATCTGCTGAGTAATATTGTCACTCCATTTCTGGCATCGCTCCACATCCTCGCTGGAAATAGAGTAATGTATCAAAACCTGCCACCATTCGTAATAATAAAACGATTAGGTGACATGTCACGGAGAAGCCATATCTAAGGTGCGGGGCTGCGGCCACATATGTTTTAAATTCAATCAATTTAAAAAAGACTCGCTTTTTTTTAGTTCAGTAATATTATAATTGCGTATAAACAAATTTAAAAACAAGCGAAATCGCCGACAGATTCTCAATTGTTTCTTATATTTTATAAAATTTTGAAATATAATTTATATTTAAAAAATATTTCTTACAATACATTTTTATTTAGTTCTTTTGATTGTGGTGTATTACTATATAAATAATGCTTGGCTGTTTAAAAGTTTATTCCATTTGTAAATACTCGCGCTACATAGGATATATTCTTAAAATATGTTTTGTTTAATACATTTTAATGGCTTTAGTTACAATATTTTCATCTAGTAGTGTTACTTAGAAAATACTCTTTTTACCAATCTTTATCGATAATAAATTATGCGTACATAAACAGTCAGTCATATATTAATATGTGGCCACAGCTTAAAGCTGAATTGAACATAAGCTAAACATTTAGTACTATTAATAGCAAAAACACTTGGATCACATTTATATGACTTGAACTCACGTATTCCTTCATTTGAGCGGTATTATAAGACGTTAGTATATTAATATATTAGCAAATGAATGAATGATATAACAATATAAGAATGTGTTTTACCTGGAGGCGTCAATGAAGTAGATGATAAGTGATGCTATACTCAGGATGAACACCAACACTACCTGGAAGGACAAAATTTATTATTTAGTGACTTGTTTTGAAGACTCTGTACAAAGTCTTATACGTGGGTACCTCTGTCTTACATAACTGTGGCGTGTTCAGGTTTGAAGGATGAGCGATAAGGCAATGAAATTACAGGCATAAATAACATACTCAGGAGTAATAATGAACTAAAGGTGTTTCAGGTGCCACAATGGCCATATGATCGTTTTTTTTTATTTATATATCTTTAATGCACACAGTACAAAAGTAACAGTACATTTGGCGGACTTAACACCATGCGATATTTTCTACCAGTCAATTATAAGTAGTACAGAGAAAAATTGTTTGCAAAAATAATCATGACAAAAAAAATCAAGGCATAAAAAGTGATATAATAATATTTATACTATTACATTTATAATGATAAATATATAAATATAAATAATGATATTCATATATATATTTATTTAGGGTCGGCAACGCGAACGGGACATTACTGGTGTCTCAGGCGTCAATAGACTACGATAACCATTTACAGTCGTATTATAAAAAAAATAAATAAAGACGAATGTGTGTTTCAATTTTCAAACCTTTGCTTGTTTGCCAGTTACGTACAAAAAAGACTTTAGGCCTGGTACGACACTTAGTACATACAAATTTTCCTATAAAAATAAATCATTACTTCATAATAATTCATATGCCAATCATGCATATATCCCAACCCACATTGAATCCTCAATGTCATCCCATATTTGATTTGATTACATTACTTATTATTATTGGATAATGAAATATTCATGGACGCTTACTATTTGTTGCATTGATCTTTTAAATTCTTAGATGGACAAAAAAGTATAGAAGGATACAACGATGAGGTCAAAATAATTGTTACCGTACAGATCCGTATAGTTACTTTTTTACTATTACGTTTTTTATAACAATTACGGTAAAAACAAATATATACAGACTCATTTGTACCTTGAAACCTGTACAACGCTAGTCAATATAATACTTATTTAATTGTACCGTTGTTAAAGTTACATTTGGAGAAATTTTCAAATGCATAATTTTTTCTAAGACATATTGCAATAATTTTGTTGCAAACTCTTAGCAGATTTTTGTATTTTGTACCAATCTTGAATGTATCTTTTTTACCGTTTTAATTTTAATAAATTAATAATTTAATAATATTTCTATTAATAATACTCACTTTAACTTATAATTGAATATTTTTGAACAACAATTTTTTTAATTCTAGTCTTATTCAGAATACAGATTCTGCAAAAAAAAAGAATGGGTAAGAAAGTTGTCTGTAAAATATCATAATTACCTCTTATATTCATCATTAGGAAATTTTGACGTTGATATAATGTCTTGACCTAGTTAAATTCAATACCCCAAGAAAACTGGCTGTTATTTAACTAACTTATATAAGAAATGACCACTTTTTTATTTATGTACTGTCAAAACAATGGCTTAAACTTATAATTAATTATATTTTTGTTTAAGTATACTTTTAAAAACAAAATGTTGTTTTAAATATATTTTTTGAGGAGGTCAAAATATTTATCAAATGCATTTTAATTTATCGATCATTGAAAATAGTGCCTATTCTCGATTGGATATACATCTTTATTAAAATAAACTTAATATAAGATACTTTGAATAGTAATATATATATAATATTCCTTATTCTACGACTCATTCGGACCGCAAAATAAAGAACAAAAACTTGATTGTTGCTCTTTTAATAAATGTTTAATTATGAAGTACTTATTGGAAAAAATATTGTCATATTCAATTTAATGTTGAAATATATATATTCGCACAAAAAATTTTCCATGATAGCATAAATAATTTGTTTAAGCAAGCGAAGCTGGGGAAATGGTTAGTGTATAATTATAGAGGGGCGAAGGGGATTGTTAGTAATATGGACTATTAACCTAATTGTTAGATCAATGTACCATGTCAGGTTGACCCTCATGCGTTTCGCCCTGGAAACATTCGTGGTAAATTGTTATTCCCCAAGATGGACTAACTGATCTAACTATAATACATTGTCATTTTATCGTTTTCCACTGGTGATTAGTAAACGTTAACACAGGCGGGTGTATGATTCCATTATCGTCCTTAAAAAATATTTAAAATTCTCGTGTCATGTTAGTTACTATATACTCCTTCGAAACGGCTTGATCGATTGTTATGTTTTATATGCATATTCAGTAGGTCTGCGAATCGGCTACTATCTATTTTTCATACTCCTAAGTGATAAGGGTTGTTTTTTATTTTTTTATAATGTGGCATTAAAATACATACAATTCTAAATTTTCACCCTTCTACCACCAATCCCTAACTTTAATAGCGATATTAGTACTTTTTATAAGGCAAAATAACGGTTGTCGGGACAGTATGTATAATTATAGAGTACTTAATCTATGAGTCAGTTTACTCATACGTTAATAAGTGTAGGCTAGTTGTGACGTCATGTGAGGATGAATAAGAATGAGGTAAGCACTTTGCTGTCTCGATAAACAATTAAAATCTCAGATTTCGATGTTAATAACCTTTTGCTCTCTGAGAATCAATTGTAACTACAGTATAAGATATATAAGTGTAGTAAATCAGTAACAATATGCTCATGCAATTTTATTTTATACTGCTATACGATGGTGGCAAGCATGCGGCATATTTGACAGTAAACGGTTACCGTAGCCTATGGACGTCTGAAACACCAGGTGTATCGTTTTATCGACCCTTAAGAAACCTTAATATAATTAAAAGGGTTCTTGAAAAATTGAAGATTGGATTAATTGAACTTATTTTTATTACAAAAGAAATTTTAAATTTATTTTACTTATTGATGTGTAAAATGTTGTCCTTAGTTTTGAATTTACTTTATTTTAAAGAAAGTAACAAAATGTTAGAATAGTTAAAATTATTAGTTAATTACTCATTATCTTAGTTTTATACATACTAAGTAAATATTTTGCATGTTTATTAAGAAATGCTGGATGCAAATCGCCCCATAAGCATATTTATGTGCTCCGGATTTTCTTACTGCAAAAAGATGGGCCAAGGATATTGGATTAGCATATGAAAGCTTCAGCCTAGCTATTATGTGATAGAAGTAGGTATAAAGCCGATGTGTACGCATAACATTATCATATTATTGTATTACAAATTTCAGTAAATATTATACAAGCAACTTCGTTGGAATACTAACACTATATTAAGGAAGGAAGGTTATTGTTCGTATATGGAGTAATAATTCCATTGCTAGCTATGTACCATATCAGTTTGACCTCCACATAGTTCCCTCAGTAAACCATCATATGCCTTGTGTATATGCCACGATGGTCTAATATTATATTGCACCGTACGAGGAATGGAACCCGCGACTATCGTAAGTAAGGCGGACTATATAAACCGCCAGACCACCGAGAACATCTTTCCATTATTATTTTCCATTATTTCTTCTCATTATTTTAGAGTCATATAGTATATACTTATATTAAATATACACAAAACTCACAAAGTTATGTATACCTAACCGTACCCGACGCGCGCTACTAGTTACTCATAAAAGAAAACACTATACCAGCGAATAATAAAAACATATGTAAGTGTTGGCAGAATAAATGTACTAACAAGTGGAGCTACTTTAAAATCATTTTATTGGACGAGAGGTTTTGAAGCATCAAAGGGAAAAGTTTTATATCTCAGTAACTTTTAACTTAAGTGCTTCCCGGTCTGGCAAGCATCCAATGTGAACTTAAACTATTGTTGGACATGTGGACACTGAATTCTAGCTTCCAGATGGTTATTTGTTAAGTTGAACTGTTTAAACTTGCAAATACCTAAAATAATTTTCATAATATGTACTGAATTTGGTTATTTTATAAAAGATAACTTCAGTCTTGACTTATAATGGATCAAGTAGGCATTAAATTGGGAAACAAATATAATACTTCATATAATACACATTGGAAAAATGAAGTTCAATAATTTTCACGATGTCTACTGAACTTGACGAAAAATAGAAAAAAAAGTAGGCTTCAGTCGTAGCTAAATTAGTCAGGAACCAAAACAAGACTAGACACAGGAATAGTTGAAAATTGGGGAAGACTTCGTGTAGCATAGAAAGACTAGATTAATAAAATATAGGTCGCTGTTTCAGATTCAGCTCGAAAGATTTTAAAATGTAAATTGGACTACATATAGTGTCTCAGTCGGGTCATTGGAAGTGTAGAACTATATCTAAAGTCAAGTCAAGCTACACCAATTTTCTGGTATCTAAGCAAGTTTCTTGGAATGACATCATTTTTACTTTTTCCATGTATCATTTCCAAAATAAAAAGCGATTCATAAGTAAAATGTATAAACGATTTCTTTAATATATGATACCTACTTTAGTTAGTAAGATTATTTTAAAGTTTGGAATTTCCACTGCGGTCTTTAGGGGAAAGTAAAAATATTGCGTAATTGATTTAATAATTTTCATTGAGGGAAGACTTCTCGAGGAAAACCAGTACTGTGCTAAACTTGTCTAATTTAGCTCTAGTAACAAGTCATGAAAAACAAGAGAAACTCAGCACATTACCATTTGACATAATCATTGATCTTGTAGGCGAATATCGTAGATACTCTCTTTCAATACCGATTAGCAATATGCAAATTTCAAATCGATACTTTGTGAATAAAGTTGCTGGTCCAGCGTTATATTTATATTCAGTTATATAGTTTTTGAAAGTATAACACAGCCAAGTATTAAAAAATATATTTATAAAGTAAAACCTCTTTCATTTGTAACTCTAAAAATATGTATTGAAGAATCCTCAATGTCGCAAATACTGCGGTAGAAGGGAAGCAATAATTTAAACTTATATTTGGCGACATGATTAATAGGTACCTTACGTTTCCGTGGCTACGTTTGAATTACCGCCCTAACAATGCGTCACGTTATAACCTATTTACAATGGGGTTTTATGGAGTGGAGACACGCCATCATACCTATGGGAAT